ATTACACAGTCTGTTTCAAAATACCGTCACCAATGTCGACACCATTTGACATCAAAATTTTGACAGTAAAAATATATGTTATTGTTGTTGTCGTTTCATTGCTGTGATAAGAATTCACTTTTTTAGCGTACGTATTTCAAAGTACACATCTGTATTGCCCATACTCCTACTGGACTTTATCCATCCTTTACATTGGGGACTTAAAAACCCAATGAAGTCCCAATTGGGTCCACAAAGTTTCACGACTGTCGGATTAAAAATAAAAATTTCGAATATGACAAATTTTCGACAAACTTCAATTTTTTCGTTTTTTTTTTTAAATGTGTGGGTTTTTAAGACCCACTAAAGTCCCAATAAAGACCCAATAAAGACCCAATTGGGAAATCATAGGGACTTATTTGGGATTTTTTTTTATTTTTAAGACCCAATAAAGATGAAGACCCAATCATTTGGGATCTTATATAATAGTTTTCTCTATAGTAAATTTAGTAAAAAAATATAGAAAATTATCGATATTTCATTTACCAATTCCGGCGAAATTTTGTACTACACCCAAAGAGTTAGCAAGCGGGAAATTGAGATTGGGCCTTAATTCACTAAATTCAGCCATATTTCAGGCCATTATCACGCTCCATCATAAATCTGTGGAGGCAAACTTCATTTTCGAGCCGATTTATATGGAAAATCAATCATTTTTCATATTGAAAAATATCGATATTTCATTTACCAATTCCGGCGAAATTTTGTACTACACCCAAAGAGTTAGCAAGCGGGAAATTGAGATTGGACCTTAATTCACCGAATTCAGCCATATTTCAGCCCATTATCACGCTCCATCATAAATCTGTGGAGGTTTTTGAGCCCATTTATGTGGATATGTTGAAAAAAAGTGAGCGAGGCACAACATTTCTTTTCAGGTGGGCAGGGACCGGTTCGCGCATATTTCTATGCAAGATAGCTATGCTAAGCATAGCGGAGACTCAAGCCGCAACGCATCCGTCGCCATTTGATTCGAGCTATATCTTATGCGTACGTTTCTCAAAGCACAGCCGCCTGCATACACGAACATGTGTATGTTCATACAGAGTGGACGGCGATGCGTCAGTTGCATTTGCCGCTATGCTTGGCATATCTATGCTACCTAGCGTATCTAGGCAAGCATGGAAATATGCACGAACCGGTCCTTGCAGGTGGGCGGACAACGGACATTCAATGGACAAATATGAATGTTCTGGCAGTTTTAAATGAACACGGAAAAAGTATATATTCGTCTCAGCACGAATAAGTCGACGTACACGTATGAGAAGTGTTCTTGAAAAATGATTTTCTTGCATTTCAAAATTGTGAGCTGATTATAATACTTTAATGCGCTTAGTGTGCGGAAAAGAATTTTGGAACTACTTAAAAACTTACGTTGAATAAAAGCAATTAAAAAAAATTGTTCATGGATACAGAGATAGCGACGGATGTATTAAGATTTATGAATTTTTCACGGATACACATTCCACGGACATACAATTCATCCGTATTCGCAAGCTTAATTTAACGGATACGGATAAAATATATACCCGCATCTGTGACATAGAAACATGTAAACAAATTGTATACAAAATAGAATGCTTTTCTAAAATAGAAAAATGTCGAAGCGAAGAATTCTGCAATCAGATTGGAGTAGTTTTATGAGTACAAAAAAAGGAGTTTTTTTCGTAAGCAAGAACGAACGATGAAAAATATGACGACGATAAAGCTGACGATGAGACATACGACGGTGCTGACATTATTTTCGACTTTTAATGTTATGATTTTTTTATTTGATTTCTTGAATTAACATTCATTTAGTATGTGTTCCTAAAAATAATTTCTACCCATAATAATATTTTTCAAGAAAAGGTGGGTATTTTCTTTAAATTTTAATTGAATGTGTAGTAAGTCCCGGAAAAAGTCGGTATTCAACAGACATTTTTCGGTGTCTAAGGCAAATCCTTACGCTCTGGGTTGTAGGAAATTTCGTTCTCGAATCATTTTGGGATCGGATCATTCTTATCAATTTCCATAATATAAATTAAATTTCATAGGTCGTAAAATTTGAACTTGAACAAAAGTTCGAATTTTTCAATGTAACATATCGAGATATTTATTAATGAATAAGAACCAAAATATAATATTTTGGTTTTTATTCATTAGTTATAGTCGTTTATCGCTCCAAAACAATTATTAATGAGAGATTTATTTTTATTCCGACAGTCGTGAAACTTTGGGAAACTGATTTTCTGCGAAAAAAACTGATCTATACAAAATTTCATAACGTTTGGGTCATAAATAAATATAGCTCCAAAACAAAAGTTTACATTTTTCTATATTATTTAAGTTAATCCATGGATGAATGGAGTTTAGATAATGGAGAATTTGAGGGACCATTGACATAAGATGAATCGGCCATACTTACAGCAAATAAATATCGCAGAACCGCCATCAGATTCTCTACTTTGAGTTTGAGTTTCATGTTTTTTTTTCCAAAAGAAAAAAAAAGAAAACAATTATTTACATACTTTCAAACACATTGGACGAAACCAAGTGGTACATTTTTATTCTTAAAAAAAACACATTTCAAATGTGTCCTACCCCCTTAGAGTAATGTTCATTTGTAGCTGAATCGAATACTTGCTTAAAATCGATCACATTTTGCTAGCACTTATGCTCGTCTGCATCTTTATAGTGTTTGCTTTTTTTTCCTTAATTTAGTCATTCTGATGGGTTTGATTTGCTTTCTCATCCGGCAAACGGCACAAAATTGTGATGTAACAATGTGCAATGGGCTTCGATAATAGAAATTTTCATCTGTATTTTTGGCATTCTTTTTATGCGCCCAAACATGCAAAAAAATCTCAATAATTTCGATAACTGGTGCGCAAAGTCGAAAAAATAAAAAAAAACTTGGCAGTAAAAACAGACGAAAACTTGTTTTGTTGCATCCCAAAATTATATCCTTTTATAGAACCAAAAAAATAATAATAATAATGGTCAAAATAAAAAAATTGAGTGAATATGTGAAAATCATCAGTAAGATGTGTTCTATACCTCTTGCAATCCAATGACTTGTTCTTTTTTAAATAGCGTGTAGTTTTCGTGTGCATCCATGCAATGCAATTTGGTTCCTTTATGTTTTGGTGGTTGAATCAATTCTTTTGGTATGACAAATGTCGTTTTTCGTATCGGACGCGTTGAATGATTAGAATCACATTCGCCCGTTTCCAAATCAATGTCATAAGTATCCATTGCTTGAAATGGTCGTGTCCATTTAACTTCACCCGTCTCATTATCGGTTGTATCCATTGTAAGTTTTTTTTTTGCTATCGAAAATGTTTGCGACAAATACAGGGAATGAAAAAACAAACACAAATTATTCACTCATTCTAAACTCATACATATTTACAATAAACCATAAAAATAGACATCAATCAAATTGTTGCAGTAATTCATTTGCAAAATTAGTATTATAAAAATGTTTTATAGTCCGTAATTATCGGGTGGTGAATTCTGACGATCGACGCCCTTTTTTTATTTAGAAAAACAATTTGTGTACTTGCTTTTAAATTTAGAATGAAGGCACGTCAAGTAAAAAATATCGAGCATTCCGAAGGATTCAAATTCAAAAATGGTAATTCAATGCAGAACATTTTGTTTCACTACTTTTTCGGCCAATGTGTAAATAATGAATATCATGCGTTGTGCTGTGAGTGTCTCCAAATGCTCTTTGTGTTCACATTTCTTGTAACAAACAAATATAACGTAATCCAAACGCATTTGATTTAGAATAAATGTACAAAAGCAACACGAATAAGAATAAAATATTGTGGTGACATTTTCAGTTAATTAAAAAAGGTTAAAGATTACGAAAACCTTTTATAAAATATTTGGAGTGTTTTATGTATTTATTCGATGTTACTTTTGTTATTTTTTTTTTATTGTTGAACTGCGCTCTTCGTATTAAGCATCTCATTTGTATTCCGGTAATAAAATTTGAGGTGAACAATTGCATCCGAATGGAATATTTTGCGCTACTATAAAAAAAATCACTAAAACGACCTTTTTCCGAATTATATTTTTTTATCGGACGAAAATTTAACCGGAAATTACATGAAAGTACATTTTAAAAAAACGAAAAAAAAAAAAATAAAGCAAAAATCACCCAATATCTTTGTATATCGCCGAAAAACACAAATACATGCACTCTTTATTCTAATAAGGCTATGCACATTTTTAATGAATTTTGATTGATAGAAAATTTGGTGATGACCAATTAAAAATATTATCGTTACCACCACAAATGTTGTATTATGTGCAATAGAATAGAATTGTTAGTAAAAAACTGAATTGTACAATGACCATATCAATAGACACCAAAAAGCAAACTGATTTGAGCTGACAAATCGAAAACCTTTGAAACATTGTTCGTTTAGTGTGACGATCACCGTTTCATTGTGTTGTTTGGCTTACGTGACTTTGTCAATTTTTCTACGTGGTAGTTATATGTTTATATGTAGTTTGTGAAAGACTACATGTAAATAGCAGCAATAAAAACGCGAACTAATTAACAAACACGTGAACCCAGTTCACCAAATGATCGAAAAACAATGTAAACAGATAGTATTAGGTCTTCATTTTTTGAGATCAAACAACGTTTTTTTTTATACAGAATGTTGAATCGCAAAAAGAAAATTCTAAATTTTAGATCATTTGTTTTTTTAGTCATTTATTGCACATTCTCCAAAGCATGGTTCAGCATATTTAGTTTCTTTTTGGAATTATACCCTCCATCGAAGACAAATTGAAATCTCTCACTTCGAAAAAATGCACTTTCTAGTGGAATCCTTTTTTATTCGTCCAGACGAATAATATCTCAATGAATGAAAGTAATTACCCGTTTCTTTGATTGACATCTGTGTAATCAGAACCTATGAGTGCGGTAAATATATAATATGCATCCTGTATTCAATGCTAATTTAAAAAAGAAACTCGAAGTGTGATTTGGTTGTTTCATAATAATTTAATCATCATAATCTGTTTCATCGATGCTTCGTTTGTTTTAAATTTGTACAATAAAATTGAATTGGATTAGAACTTAAGATACAACACAAGATAAAGGACGAATAGACTTCGAATCTCTTAAATAGGAAAAAAAGATGATAAGAAAAGAATGAATAAATAAATTGTGTTTCATTTTTGCACTGGTTGAAACGACATACATTAAATGTAATTAAATTAAAATAATTAGGATTAATAATGTTAAATTCATAAAATATGATCAGCTAGAAAACTAAATAACAATGATATTTAATTCGAAACCAAAACAAACGTAGAAAAAATAAGGAAATTGTATAGACCAGAAGGGCGTTGTGTAAATTGATAGAAAAAAAAATGTTTAGTAAAGACTAGTTAAATCAAATCAAATCTCTTCGGAATGAAACGTCCAAAACATCGAAAAACCAATGCACTTTTTTAAAACAATGAAAAAAAAATGTTTTTGTCATCTTCACCTTAACTTGTTTTTGTTTCTAAATAAGTATAAATTGCAAATGTGTTTTTGTTTTGTTTCAATATAATAATATAATCTTGTTCAATACAATCAAAAAAATTTCCATTAAAATTAGCCACATTACTAGTTATCTTTTGCCAAACTAAAAAGCTTATGTAACACACACGCATCATATAACAAACAAATCTAACTACTGATTCGTTTTTACTAAATATAATCTTAAATTGACGCTGGCAACATTGTGGATTTTTCTTTCTTTTTTATTGAAATACATTTTATTTAATAAACTCATTCTGTTTGTCTTTTCTTCACTTTTTTAAGTTTGCGTCTTTCTGTCCCTTTCTACTTGAAATCATTTCCAATTGGTTTGCCAAAAAAATGTCTGTTAGTGTGGAAAAAATGGTATGTGTGTGTGTCTTTTCAAGCTTTTAAACAGTGTGATCAATATCGATCAAGTAGTTGGATTCTTATTGCAATAGACTGGTTTTATAGAGTGTTTTATGTGTTTACAGCAATTTTGTTTTCTCTGTCTTTTCTTGATAAATAATTTAATATGTCAATAAATCAGCTACATATACAATAAATATCAATCGTTTTGAGTTTTAATGCCTATTAAATTATAGCCGATTCCATTGATCAAGATTCAAGTGTTATTCGCATATGCTAAATGCAAGCATATGCATCGAAATGGTTGCAGGTGAAATGAATAAATTATCCACACGATAATCACGGAGAAATATCGATGCAATGATCGATAATGACCAGGTCCATACGTATTAAATTTTTCTACGTTGTTTGCTTCCTTTTGAAAATTCATATTCTTTTTTTCCTCAGCATTTTTTTTTTGTTTTTGGTTTTTTTCTTCAGCTATTACCACCACAGTGCAATAATGTTTGATTTAAGATTGGTTAACTTGCCACACTATCAAGTAACTTTTATCTCCTCGATTTTCAATTGTTTGATTCGGTTCCAATACAATGCTATTCTCCATGTCTCCATCACCTATGAACAAATTGAGAAAAGAACAAAGAAAATCATAATTCGTTAATCACATTTGTTTCAATTAAAATTCATTATGTATGTATGGTTGCAATGAAAAATCGGTTAGTGTATACATATATACTTCCCAAATCCAATTATTAATATAAAATAGTCAATTTCCACCACATTTCCCATTTAAAAATGTTCTACTTTCATTTCATTTTGATTGTATGCCACATATATTTACAAACACGAACAGCAGTACGGGTGAATTGTACTGCACTCATTTCAAAATGAAATCATACGCAAAAAAAACCAAGTAGATTTAAAAACAAATAAATAGAAAACCAACAGCAAAAACAACAACGAAAACAAAAATGAAATCCAAAACAAAATCTACTTTAACTTAAGAGAAAATGAATAAATGAAATTTACCTTTCGAAACGATAATTGTAATCAAACAACCAAACAAGAACACACACATTCAAGAGTTATAACTCTTATTCTTGCCCGCCTTTTCATTTTCGCATATTCACATTTGTTTTACGAGCATTTGCATTGCGTCACAAAAATAGAAATCTCGTATGAACATTCGGTTCTAAAATATATAAAGTACTACAATTTTCTTTTGTTCGGTAGAGTTTTGGCTTTTGGCATTGTTTTTGTTTGATTGATTTTAAGTTTGTTCGTATTTATTTCGATACGATTTGTCATGTAATTTAAAAGCCTATTGAATTGATTTTCAAGACAGGCAGTTCGTTCGTTTCTTTTTCTCTTCAAAATTTTCAATATCGCTATGTCGTTGGTGATGTTTGCCAAATGAGCAAATGTGTTGCCACGTCACACGCATCATCTGCATGCTCTTCTGAATGATTTTACAAAAAAATGGAGAAAAAATAAAACAAAATACAAAATCACGAAAAAACAACAACAACAACAACAAATTATTCATAAAAATTAAAATTTAAGACGAAAATTTACTTCCTACATATACACACAAATGCTCTAGTTTCCAACTTTCAAAATGCTTTGTACTTGTATATTTTTTGTTTTGTTGCAAAAGTCAAGGAATAAAAAGGGACATTTCATGAAAAATGATACAAATGATACAACGTGTATGTGTGTGTGTGTGCTATAATATTCAAATCGGTTACATTGGCCGAAAATGATGGAACGACAGATGAATTGAATTTTAACTGAACTATGAAAATAGGTGAAATGGAATATTTACCTAATCGAAAATCGATGTAACCTTCTCCACCGGACATTACAAGCATATGTGGCTTATGACCGATTTGAACCTCTGACTGCAATTGCATTGGCACCGAAACGAAAAATTTAACAGCATCACGATGACCGTGGAACGACAATTGAGCATTGGCCATACAGCACCGTGGTATAAAATTGTTGGTTGCAACTGAAAGAAAAATCATCGTTAGTAGAAGAAATGAAAGATATTTGAAAACGGTAAATTACTTTTGTTATTATACTGTAGAGCTTCTGTAAGAGGAACGGATATGACGACACCATTTCCGGTGCCGATCCACAATCGATTACATGAAACCAGCAATGCGGTTATACGCGCAAATGAAAAACCTAATTTTCCCGTTCCGAGCATTTTCGAAACGTATGGCTCAATGTCAACATCCTGTAAGTGTTCATATGTGTGGGCATGATACAATCGAAGTGTTGAATCCAATCTAATCGCAAGATGCAAAAAAATAAAAATAAATATACAGTTAGTTGAGGGATGGGCGATGGCAAATTCGAATGATTTGGAATGAAAAAAAAAGTCATCAGAAACTTACCGTATTGAAACCCATACTCCCAATCCAGTGGCGGCCATTTGTCGAATTTGACTTTCTTTGCGTGGATGTGCCTCCAGAATGTGCACAATATTCAATGAAATCGGATCGACAATGTAAATTTTATTTCGATGGGCCGCCCAAATTTTGTCAGCCACAATGCACAAGCAACGAACCGATTGTTTTGGTAGACCTAATGGTAACCAACAACAGAAAAATTCTCAATTATTTTACTTTGCTTGATGATTTGATCGCTTTTAAAATATAAAAAAAATATAATAGAAAAATACCTAGAACAACAAGATGATAGCTATTTAAATCCCATTGACCATCAGTCTGACGACGAAACACAGCCAATTTTCCATTTGCTAAGGCAGCCACAACACGAGATTCTACATGTACTATCGACAAAACGGCATCAGGTAGACGAACCTTGAACGAAAAAAAAACCGAACGACATTTTATTATTGATTCATTGAATATTTCAAATAAAGAAAAGGGAAAGAACATTTTTTTATTCTCTCAATAAATTATTTACTTGATGAAGACAATCTCTCCAACGTGCAACGGAACTATGTACATATAACCTTCCATTTTGAGCACCTAACCACATGGTTGGCCCAACCGATGACATGGCCGGCTCTTCGAGTGGATTCGGAGAGCCAAGTATTGGATTGACTGGCTTTGGAAATGCTAATGAGTAAATGTTTTGGTTGTTATTTGCGTTGTTGTTTAAATGAAGCGGCGACACTGGTGGTGCATTTATCTCTTCCACAACAGCTGTTATTGCACCTTTATTCAAATTTTGTGAATCAAGCGCAATTTCAACTTCATTCTTATCATTTTCAGCGACAACCGATGCGGTTAATTCATCAGCCGTACACGTGGCCGACGGTTGTGCTTCACATACATTTTCATTTTGATCATTTTTGGCCGCATCGGTTGTTGTCGCTGTTGTTTCGGTTGAATCTTCCTTGGCAACCCGAACAAATTCAACACGGCCCGTATCGTCTGCATCTTCACCGGGCTTTTCAAGCATTTCACCTGATTTAATGGCTTCACTATTTTCCAATAGCGTATAGTCTTTTTCAAGAGCACCCTGAACGGAACAAATGCATAGCAAATGTGTTTGACACACTGGAAATGAATCAAGTACAACGGCAGGATTTTTTGCATCAATCACAGTCACTGTACTGGCCGAATGTGTGCTCGTACAAATCCAAACATACGAGCTCAATTGTGAATCGGGATCGGAATTTTCCATTGCCATTGTTATTTGTTTATCAAGCGAATCAAGTTCAGCATTTTCACCCGTTGGTGTTGTTACTTCGGTGATTTGAGCTGTTGTATTCGTTGAATAAAACACACTAGCACCAACCTGTAAAATGTACGCAATTTTTGTTTAAAGATTTTTTTTTTCTTCGTCTTTTTATTGTTCTGTATTATTATTTTGTACTTACAATACAACCACCATCCTTTGTATAGCCGCCATTCAGATTAACACCAGCTGCACAAAAAACTTTCATGTGTGGACTAGCTTCTGCCAATGGTCGACAATAAACAGGTACTGGAACTTTTGGCATTTTTCGATCAGTTCGTGGCGTTCCCGTTGTATTCGTTTTGGTGCCGGGCAATGACCAACCATATGCATGCAATCGGCCATCTTCTTTTTGCACATGTGCACGCACCTGACGATATTGTTCGCGACGCTTTTGATTCAAACGATCTGAGGCACCCTCTTCAGCATATTCTTTGGAAAATGTTAATGCATTTGATGCATTGCCACCCGATGATTGATTACCTAGGGGAGAATCACAGAAGAAAAGAATAGAAATCATTTAAAATAATCGATATATAATCGAAATAATCGAAAACATATAAGTGAATTGGGTTCCTTCACGTAACGCAGAAATGCTAAAACGCAGAAAAATAAACATTTTTATTTTCTGCGTTCCGTGAAGCCACCGTAAATTGCCCCTAGTTGCTTACCCGATGTAATAGCTAATCGCCCCTCGAACGCAGTAGGTGCAACATGGTGGCTTGATGCATTATACTGTAATAATGGTCCGGGAGGCTCTCTTTGTGGGCTGGTCGATGTTCTAAATGTTTAGATAAACCAAAGTTATGCATTAATAAATTATAATTTAATCGCAATCCACAACGCTTAATTGGTATTGCTCACAGTAGGAGTTTGTTAAAAAACTTTCTCCAAATGCTTTCCTTTGCCTTTGGATTCATGTCAACCGTACGAGATGCTCGAATCATCTCTGTCCATCGTACAGCATCTTGAAGTTCCATGAAACGCTCTTTGTACTAATTGAATGGAGATGAATATGATTTTGATATGATGTGATTTTTTATGCATAACAAATAAAAAATTATGTTTTTTACATACTTGATTTCTTTCCATAAGAACACGTGCCATTTCGACACGTGTAAAGCGTTTACGCTGTGCCATTGGAACATCACCTTCGTCTTCTTGATCAGAATTGCCTTAAGGGAATTTCAATTTTATTTAGTCATTTTTTCCCCACACTGAAGTCAAAGTAAAATTTATCAAAATGTGTACACTTACTGCTTGCTTTAACTAATGTTTTGCTTTGTTTTAATTCTTCTTCCAGTTCGGACACTTTCTGTCGCAATTTTTGACGCGACTGATTGGCCGTATTGAGGTCTTCACGTAGAATTTCAATTTCACCCGTTAGTTCATCGACTTTTACAATCAAATCGTCTTTGACAATATTCAAAGCATTTCTATACGGATAAAAGAGGAAAAAAATAATACGCAATTAATAAGCATCGTTGTTGTTTTCTTATTTGATTATGTATATGAATACATACTTTGTTGCCAATAGTTCATTGTTCTCATTTATAAGATTTTCCACTTCTTTGCCCATACCTAAAATGCATACGTACAATACAATTCTTATTAACTCAATTAACCAAGGACAATGCAATGAAATTATATGAGCTAATAATAATAATTGCATAATAAAATAATAAAAAAGACCATGTTATGAGTGCAGTTTTTCAAATAAAATAAAATCATGAATAAAATGTTATATGATGTTAATGGATGACTTACCAAAGAAGTTATCGTTAACTGATTGAAGAATTGTTTCGATCGGCAAGCAAAGAAATTAAAAGAAAATTTAAGGCGATTGGAAAAATAATTATTAATTTGTCAATATTAAATTATTTGATTGGAAAGAAGAGGTATTTAGCAAAACGGATTCAGATCCATAGATTGAGTGAGAAAATTAAATTAAAATAATGGCTTATGAAATGTTTGGTTATGGTGATGGTAAAAACATTCATGAAGATTTAGATGATGATGATGAAATGAAAGCGCTTTGATTTAGTCTTACCTGAAGATGCATATTCACCGGGATGAACCCAACTGCCTGATATTGGAAAAGATTTAAAATACGGTATAAAATGGTGAGAATGGTCTAGCATGGATCAAGCAATTAATTTGTTTAATAGGCTACTTGAGGCTGTTTTATCATAGGTGGTAAAATTCTCTTTCACAAAAGTATAAACTGTATTTTTTTGTTTTTTACCTGTCACTTCATTTTCTTCGCTCTCTTCATTATCCTGGAACGATAGTTCTTGGTACAATGTGTTTGCTGAGCGCTTCTCATTTTTGGTGGTCGATCGGCCAGCTGATGTGGGCGGTTGTGGTGGTTGCACATGAACTGGACTCGGTTGATCGCTTTGCGGTGATGTTGCTTGATTTATTTGTTTCAGTGTGTCGGTTTCGGCTGAACGTTCTACAGTTTGAATATTATCGAACTCATTTTGCAGTGATGGCGGTCCTGAGCCAACTTTAATTGTGTTTGGTTTTTTGTTTTGTTTCGTTTAAAAATAGTGCAAATGTGCAATAAGTGATGTGAATTAACATTTTTTTTTTCGTTGATATTTTGTACATTTGTGTGTATAAGTGTGTATGTGTATTTTTGTCTGTATTTTGTATTTTGAATGCTCACCTGAACTGGCATCACTTCCGTTCGGACTGCATATGGTTTCAGTGTCAAGCATCTGTGATGTTTCAAGCGATGCAAATCCATATGAAACCGGACCAGACGATCGATACATGGGATGTAATCGATTTCGATTTAATTCCAATCGTTCCGAATTAGTTGAATTCAATTGAGAATGTGTCGATCCCATCAAGAGCTTTGTTCGTTCCATATAATCAACATGTGTTTTGAAGAGCTCCGTATAACGATCATGAAGTTTTGCATATTCCTAATATTTTCAAATTCGAATATTCGATTACTTTGAATTCATTTCGAAATTCGATGTCCGTTTTTTGATTTGTTTTACCTTTTTCAAGTCACCTTCACGCTCTTCAAGTCGGCTCGCATGTTCCAAGCTGTTCTTATGCTTCAGCTCTAACATTCTCACGATGCTTTCAAGCGATTCTAGTCGACTGGCCAACTCTTTATTCTCCGCTTCAGCCAAATCTTCTGTATCCAGTAACTGATGGAGAAACATTCGTTTCAATTAATATTTATTTACAATATTTTCATATGTTTTTTTTTTGAACTAACTTTTTGCTCGGCTTGTTTTCGGGCACTCTTCTCGCGTTCATATTGTGTTACTAATTGTTCGTTATCCTCACGGAGTAATTCAACTTCAACCTCTTGTTCTTGATTCGTTTGGTAGGCTGAGTCTAAGCACTCGAGAACGTTGACCAGCAATGGCATCAAATTTTTCACCACTTCTTCATCGTATCGCTGAATCATACGCTCAAATTCTTGGTAAATGCTGCCAGCCAGCGATTGAACCTGCAACAAATCATTCAAAACAAGCAAGTGGTTAACAATTTAGAAAGTAAAATAAAAAAAAATATGGCCAACATGCACTAAAAACCATATATTATTTATTGCTGTTACTATTTTAATGCGGTTTTTATTTGCGTGTGTATAGAAAATGAAAAGTGAATGAAATGCAATGCTGTCACGCTTTTGTAAACTTTGTGATATGTAAATTTGACATTGACATTATAGATGAAAAACGAAAATGCTTTCATCTCGCGATACACAATCATAGTGAATGACCTTATTTCCCGTTAATTTGTGCATCACCATATGATAATGACACAAAGAAAAATGTTTGAAAAAATCACGCTACCACTATTGGCGAGTGAAATTCTCCCTTAGATCGTTCATTGACTCAATGTGTTCAATTCAAAACCAATCGATGTTGTTTCGAAATTAATAAAAATCGAATCCAAATTTTTTTTTTTTTTTAAATCATTTCGATACAGATACATTTTGTATATACAATTAATTCGTAGAGTCGATTGTTTTGGGTGGTTTTCAAAATCTGCACGCAATGCACACAGCATTATTCATTTTATGTGTGGCCTACCTTTTCGGACATAACCATTGTGTTGTCATCATGGGTTCCATAAACGGTTTCGGTGCCAGGCTCAATACCAATATTTCCATCTTTATCCATATTTGATGACGAATCAAGTTTGTTGACGGTGCAGTCACAATAATCACCACCACAATTAGCACAAGATGTTAGCCTCCCTCCAAATCAAAGCAAAGAAAATATTGTGTGATGATTTTTGGGATAGTTTGGCAATAGTAATATTGCCACTTTTTCCACAAAAAATTCTCCCCACAAACTCTCTCTCTCTCTCACTCACTCGCTCTCAATTTCGACTTCCAAATTAACTTTCAATCGATTTTTTATTCACATTCAATGGATTATTTTTATTTATTTTTTTTTCTTCTTCTCACATTTACACAATAATAAAATTGTACACATCAAAATCACACACTACCAACACGAAATGACAAATCACCAAAATAGATGCATTTTTGCTGAGATTGTTTACTGTTTCCTTCTGCCAACCAAATCCATTAAAATCACTTTATTTTTCATGGTTTCCTTCAAAATATTATTTTTTTTTTTGCACACAGATTCGATTGGCGACTAGAAAGTATGTAAAGCACACACCAAAATAATCGCAGAATCGTATGTGTTTTCAACAAAGGAACGAATATAAAAAAAATATCTATTTAATATGTGTATATGGTCTGAAGCATACGTCGTATATATTTTACATCCAACACTCTCGTCGTATCTCTTTCACTCATACACACCTCACTGCAGATTCATTCAGTTTGACGTTTTATTTTCTGTCTATCGTCGTATTTGTTATTTTCTACTGTAGCTCATTGTTATGGCTATGAAGTGGTTATCGCAACCCAGCTGGTTTTCGATAGGGACAAAATAGCAATGTCACAAACCAAGCACACCTATTTACCCGAATCAACCGATTATATATGGAAAATTCGTCATTCGATTTTCGAAAATGTCATTCCATTTCGAATGAAAAATGCAAAAACAAAGCCAATTGCATGCCTAGTCTGAGTGAAAACATTTCATTGAAAATGTCAAAAAGAACATATCATTTTCTCATTTAAAAGAAGGCAAAAAATAACAACAGTGACGAAGACATGAACCTGTCATCATGTGACCGTGCCGAGAGTGGAATCGGTGGCTGTCGTTTGTAGTTGACGCTGTTTTGCAGTTTTTCTACTTGCCAATCTCTTTCGTTCTTCTTCTGTCAGTCAAACGTAAATAAACTTGAGCTCTAATAAACAGTTGAGCACAGTGCGCGCCATAATATACAGCACAAAATCAATTCCAGTTCAGTCGATGATTGTAGTTGCAGTGTTTCGCTGTGCAGGTGGCAAAACGAGTGCGTAACCAACAAAAATAAAACATATATATATAGTGTACAAATTCAAAGAAATACCACGAGTTCTACAGAGAGCGCACGACAAAAACCACATACACATGATTAAAAACAAAATAAAAACGAAACCAAACAGTTGAGACAAATAAAAAATAAATTCGAAGTCCATAGTATCCATTTTAAAGCATATCACATAAGTTCAGATGCGAATAGAAAAAAAAGAAATTAAAAACTCAAAGTATAGTAATATATAGATTAAGTAATTCGGTTGAAATATACGTCGCTTGGACAGCTATTGCAAAACTTCTCATTGGAATAGTTCACATTAGAAGGAATAACTTGCAGAACGGCGAAAATCAATGAAATAGAAAAAAAGCACAACGTGCAAATGCACAGTTATTATACACACATTGTTTGTTGTTGTTGTCGTCGACATCGTCGTTATACGTTATATTTATTGTACTCCTTGCCGATGATCGAACTGTGAATTATAAAGTTGCATTTATCGTATCGGTTCAATCAAATTTGCCAACGTGCTGTGATCTTATATTGATGTTGAATTTTCTTCGGTTAACACATAAAAACAAGTTTGAGTTGTCATTTTATTTTATCTCCGTTGCCGTAAAATCAATCATTCCATAATTGTGTTTATTGTCTACTTTGATTTTCGAAAACGTTAATTGTTCGTCATTTTGTCAAAGCGTATCTTGTGTTATCAATTATCGCGTGCGCCACTCTAGTGCCAGAATATATTTGTGATCCACTGGTTTATATTTCTATTTTTTTATTTTTGTGTGTGTGTGTATTTTTTTGGTGTCGAATTGATCAAGGGAAAAGGCATTAACACACGAAAAACTAAAAAAGACAAAAATCGAATCGAAAATCTTTTGGATTATTATCTGTCGCTTGCGTTACATTTCTATTACTACCATCAACCGTTTTCAGTTTCAAACGAAGAAACACAAAACCAACCACACTCACTGATTACATAAACGAATTTAAAATAGATGATCATAAAGTTCGACACAAAGATAAGCTTAAAATCGTAAAAATAGCGATACGCGAATGATTTAAATCATGGACGATTCAGTTAAAGTTGCGAATGCACAACACCAAGGCCACAAAGATGCAAACCAGAGTTTACATCAAATCGAAACGAATGTTGAAAATTTGGAAATGCGAACCATGAGCAGCATACAATTGGTGGAAACATTTTATGTGACATCAAAGAAAAACACCGTTTATTATGTAAAATTAACGGAAAAAGGATTAACACTGCGCAAAGAAACAAATGTCGCTGCTAAAGAGCAAACAATTTTATTACAAGATATAATTGGTTGTCGATGTTTGCGCAGCAAACGAAAACGAAAAAATGCATCGTCTTGTACATGTGCTGCGCTTCCCGGTCCAACCGAATTAAAAGTCGTCGAAGAGAATTCTGTTGATTTGGATGAGTCAGATGTCAGTGTTTATCTCTATATCTATGCGTATATTTTGGAAAAAAATGGCCATCGCGAACGTACTACCATAACATTACGATTTCGTTCATTTGATAATTATGAACAAAACAATGAAGAGGCACAAAAATGGAGATCGGCAATCAAGTATCTAATACATCGTGATCCGAATGTAATTGAGTTTCCAACACAAGTAAAACGTCTAACCATATCACCATTGAATGTAACACCGCCCGCAAAATCAGTGCCGGTGCCATCATCACCGCTTCAATTATATGTACCGAAGGATATGCGCAAAGTTCTTGTTTTGCTAAATCCAAAATCCGGATCGGGAAAGGCACGTGAAACATTCCAAAAATATGTGGCACCAGTGTTCACTGAAGCTGAAGTTCCATACGAATTACAAGTCACAAAACATGCAAACTATGCACGCGAATTTGCACGACGCTCTGACATCTATGCATGGAGATCAATTGTTGTCGTTGGCGGCGATGGAATTTACTATGAAGTCATTAACGGTCTCTTTGAGCGTCCCGATTGGGAACGTGCCACACAAACAATTCCAATTGGCATCATCCCATGCGGTTCTGGCAATGGTTTGGCCAAAACCATAGCCCATGTCTACAGGTAAGACATACCATTTATGGTATTACCTTAATATATTTCTATTATTGTTGATTATCGCGTGCGTTGAATTTTATTGCATATATTTATTGCTATACACTTTGAATCATATAAAACGCAACTCATGTGGTCTGACATGTCTGATTGCGTTATCAGTGCACTTGTATTTTTTTACACTTTCCTTCGTTGCTGTTGATTAAGCGCGAAAATGAATAAATGCATCGTATTTGGACACCATCAAATCGAATCAAATAATTACTGAACAAAAACAATGATCTCTGAACCAAAAATTTCGAAAAAGTCACGGTCTTCATTGTGTATATACTGTGTACTGGTAAGCATATTACCGATATTTGTGTCGCAACCATGAAGAAAGAAAACCGTATTTTTTTTGCATCTGTTTACATATTTTATTTTCAGTGTTATGAAAAACTTTTTGCGAAATTTTTATAGCGAGAAAACAATGAAAAATAAGCGTATTAGACTTTTATCAAATGCTCATATCGATTGATGATTGTTGAACAATAAAAAGAAATAAATAAGAACGGTACATTTGCGCCTAAAGTACATACAATACATAAAAAAATGAAAATTTTAAAAAGTTATTGAAATATGCATGCTGGTGTAATAAATTCGATGTGTTGCATTGAAATTTTTGAGCGATGCGAAAAATGCATGTTTTATGTTTCAATGAGTATATGGCAATTGATTTAGTTGCAACACGATTTCAGTCAAAATGCCAACATACTTTTCTTTTGTTCATAAATGATCGACGCTTGATTTGCGTTTGCTTACGCGTTCAATTCACATGTTGTTTTAAAATTGCGACACATATTCACGGTCCAAGGCAAACTGAACACCACCCCACATCAATAATACAACCGCAATTTGATGTTACAATCATTTTTATCCGGTGCATTAATTCACAAAAATTCTGTTAGATTAGAGTTTCCCATGATAAATTAATCTAAATTCGGTTCAATCAATGTGCGCATGTTTGTTTATTTGCTGTTTTGTTTTGATTTACAACATTAACAGCGATTTTGCGATATTTTCATGCACAAACACTTCCGAATTGGCATTCATTGATTTGTTTTTGTTTTCTTTTTTTCAATGAACTATGGAGATCCAGTAGAAATTGATAAGATTTAAATCGCTCGGTGGTTTCATTCGATGTTAATGTTTTATTTATCAAGCGTATAAAATTACTTAATCGGTTTTTGTTTATTATTTTAATATGAAATTTAAACGGAACAACCGAATTAAAAAAAAAAAAAACGTTACGTAGACAAGACAGATGGAGTAAAAACTAGTTTTGCGTTAAAAGTTCGTACGAATTTAATAAATCTTGTTTTTGAACATTTAAAAAATAACAAACAAACACAAAAAAAACCTGTATAGCTACGTCGTAGTTACCGATGCTGCCGTTGTCATTTTTCGAACAAGAAAAACTAAAAGTGATCGCGGTTGATGCGGTTTTTTTTCCACAAGTATATGTGTGTGGCTCTTTCCTTCAAACAAGGTGACAGGGTTAACTGTATATGTAATTGACGTTTTACACGAATGGCCATAGAAAATTTTATTATATCCATTTCTAAGTATTCCAAACACGACTTCAAATTTAAAGACACTAAAAAAAACCATTAATGACATGCACATCGGCAAGATTTATGAACAGCTGACTCATTTTATCAATTGTCGGATAATAGACACAGATTCATTGTTTTTACCTCTAAACTATTTGGAGAAGAAAGGAAAAAAACAATTCAACGAATGTTTTCGCAGAACAAAAAAAAGCAGCATTTAAACAAAATTTAAATGAAATGTGAACATTTTCATTGCTTCTCGTGAATTTTTTCAATTATTTTTATTTAGTTGAGTATTTGTGAAAAAGTCTGGAAATTAACTTAATTATTTGCTACATTAAAAGCTATTTCAAAAATGATAAAAGCGGCAAAGTTTATTATACTGTCGTCGAATTCCATATGCAGTCAAATGCAAAATGAATGTATTGCAACGCATGGGTATTTCCGAACCATTTTTAATTACGTTTTCCAATGCAATTTAAATCAAATTTCATTCATACTTATCTTAGACATTAAATTATTAATATCGATTAGTATCCGGCACAAATCAGTATTAATTTTTCTTGCTTTTAATCTCTCATTCTCATCGTATGTGGTAAAAAGCCAACAAAATTCATTTTCAATCTTCAAAGAACGAATGTAATGGCATCGAATACTTTTTAACAATATATTCAATAATTTGTTCGCAATAAGATCAAAATGAAACTTGTTCGATTCGAATATGTTTTTCATGCCACTTCTTATTGACTGAATTAATTCCCGCGGTATTGAGTGTTTCAGTATAGAATATGCACTTTGGAAAAAGCGCCTTTCCCATTGGTTCGCCTGCATTTTGTCATGTCTGCATTTGAGTCAATAAGGAAGATTTAACCAATGGTATTACTATTATTGTTTGCTCACGCAAATGTCGAAAGTAGTAAAACATTGAAAAAAATGTTCGTAGTCAAGGTCAATTATTCCGTTTGTCCAAACTATCATTATCATCGTCTCAATCATTATAACCATATACACATACGACGAGGGACATTGCAAATTTTTGTCTACTTCTATGTTTAACATTGGATTCGAATGTAAGACTTCTATATTAAATATTTTGTACTTTGTTTATGTAACCATTCGTACAACAAAGTAAATGCACAAAGTGCTTTCAAATTGGTATGAAATGTACACATTTTACAAAAAAAAAATTCCGCAAAGAATATGAAGCATTGTAATATCAAAAAAGTTTTCTTATAATTTCGACAAAAATTCCGTCGAAAGTACTAAAAAAGATAAGTGTTCCAACAAATACAACAAACCTCGACTTACTGGTCGTACATGAGATGACGCACAAAATATAATCATCGCCAATTATTTGGATTCAGCAGAGCGCGGAGATAAAAACCTGGGGATCAATTGTTTGTTGTTTTGTTTATTTTTTTCTGCTTAATTTTTAACTTGATGCAAATGACTTCGAATTCTGTGTCCAAATGAAGATTGGAGAAAGAATCGAGAAAATTTGGATGCTGAATTATATTTTATCTCATTTCTGACAATAAGATAAATAAATAGAAATGCGATAAACATTCAATATGTTAAGTTGATTGCCATGACATTAAGAAAGAGGAAAAATTGACGTGAAAGAGAGATAATCAGCGTATTGAACAGCCTTCACAAGATATTGTCTATATATATACTCGCAATGCTCACCTCATACATTCAAATGCAGTTGAATTATTTTTTTAGCACATCTCTCTCTCGCTCGCTCTTTCGCTTGCTCTTCTTTTTGCTGTTTCTTGTCGAAATCGCAATTAAAATGAACTTTTGATAAGCAAAATGTGCACGAATTGGGCTTTGTAATTCAAAGGTGACCTCATCAAAATGTTATTGCCCCTGAATAAACACTGAACAAAGAAAAAGCACATTGCACGAAAAAAAGAGAGATGCTTAACATCCCACAGTTAAATAAATTACCTGCATTTATCGGACGAAAATCACATTAGTTTATTATTTGTGCAATTGAAACGAGTTAACAAAAAAACAAACACCGAATACAGTTGTGCACTGTTTGTATTGTGTGTGTGTTTTTCGTTCTCGAATTAAGGTGGAATTTTTTGCACTTTTTCTGCTCCATACCACGTTGCATGATTACTTCGAGGTGATTGTTTGCATTCGCTTGTATATAGTTCAAAATTTTGTTGTGAGAATGAAATGCCCCGTCTTCAAATGAAAATAAAAAGATGGCATTTATTAATGCGAAATTCCAAACGCAAAAAAATGGGCGAAAATAAATGTATATTATTATTTTGGCACCTTTTTCGCACTTTATTTGTTTACATTGTAAATGGAACATTTGCATTTCATATATAGATAGGTTCTTTGACTTAAGACCGTAAATTTTCGATTTGAATTTTGTCGACGAAAAAGAAACAAAAAGAAAAGAGACACAGGAGAAAACTCTTTACTTAACAAGGTCAATGAATTTTGTTGTGTCGTTTCAGTGAGCCATACGAGCCGAAACCCGTTTTGAATGCTGCCTTAACAGTTGTTAGAGGTCACAATGCGCCGATGGATTTAGTCCGAGTTGAAACCAAATCAGAGGTACTTAAATCAATGTTTGATTTTACTAAAAAAAACAACAACAACAACCACAATAATAATTTTGCTAAATATTTTATTGAAGGCTTAAAAATATCATAAAATCCATCGAATTTATTATCATATTTTCTTTACAATTATTTTAAATGTATTTATGTTGTATCTCATTTTCTCTGTCTGATGTCTCGTTACTTCTCATCTATTTCTATGCATAGATTTTATTTTCATTTTTATCGGTCGGTTGGGGATTTATATCTGACATTGATATTGAAAGTGAACGTCTTCGTTCGATTGGCTATCAACGATTTGCCATTTGGTCAGTACATCGTTTGATTAATTTGCGTACATACTATGGAACATTATCATATTTGCCGGCGAAAAATTTGAACTCAACCGAAAATGGAAAAATTTCAATGGCAAACCGACGGAAACCAAATCGTTCGACCACAATGAAACATAGCATGAGCTACAATGTTGGATTAACGGAATGTATTGATTGCCATGGCATGGGTGATTGTGAAGCATGTGATTCAGCATTCGGTGATATACTTGCATTAGAAACAAATGCAGCAAACGATGCCTTCAATAATAATGCAACTGTTTTACATGCGCGTCCCCGTTTGGATAGTTGGCATTCGGCAAATTCACGAAAAAGTGCATATTATTCGACAACCGAAAGTATTTATCAAAGTGTTGCCGATCAAATATCAGAATATGGCAGCGAAACAAATGATGATACCACAAAGCATGCAAATCAAGTGTATGGACCAGCCTCAGCAATTCCAGCACTAACCGCACCAGTACCAGCCGATTGGACAATTGAAACGGGTGAATTTATTATGGTACATGCCGCTTATCAAACGCATATTGCATCGGATTGTCAATTTGCACCGTTGTCACAGCTCAACGATGGTATTATATGGATGCTTGTTATACGAGCCGGTGCATCGCGACAGGAAATTTTTAAATTTCTTATTGGCATGAGTTCGGGCACACACATTCCAACAACACCAAATCAATACATTGAAATGATTCCGGTGACAGCATTTCGCATTGAACCAACCGGTACACATGGACATTTTACGGTCGATGGTGAACGTATTGAATATGGACCCATTCAAGCTGAAATATTTCCTGGTATTTCACAAGTTTTAGTACCAAAACCACAACAGTAAAAATCGCATCAATTCTCTTTTTTTCCCTCTCTTCCAATCAAACACAAAGTAAATACATTAAGCTGTGGTTAAAATGACATTTTGAAATGAGGACTTTTTTTTCTTCTTATTTCATCTATTTTCGAGTTATATTTTTTTTTTCTTTTATTTTCTTTCGAAATTTTTTGAAGAAAAAAACAACAACAAGAAACAAACAAATTCAAAGGCACAATATATTTTGATGAAATCAATTTATCAATGTGAGCAAGCTGCACATTGAAACGAAGGACATGTTTACATTACTTACATAGACATAGGTAAAAATAATACATCACTAAACGCTTTAATAAATCCGTTAAAAAATGTTTTTTTTTTTTGTTAGATTGTTAATTAGATATATTTTGAATGGAAGGAGAGATTATAAACGTCTTTAGCTATTGTAAATAAATTGAAAATTATCAAAAATGAGGGACAAAGAGAAAATAATGGTATAATATTTTTTTGTGATTTCCATGCATGAAATAAAAAGGCTACTCGATACATATCCAAATGTTCTTGCCACACATCGATTCCGCTAGGTAATAAGAAATTATTATTAATCAATCTATGTACAATATAATTAACAGAAGAAATAACTTAAAACACGCAGATACACAAATCGAACGGTCCACAAATAAAATAAACATTCATTCAATAAGATTTAGTATTTCTGAAAATATTCGTACTTATAAACTTGCATAAAAATTCCGTTTTGCATTACATACATAGGAAAACAAAATTCTGATTAAGAACATTACATTTCGATGATAATTTCTTATATTGAATTGCTTCGCTTTTTTCACAGTTTCGATTTCAATTAAAAAATCCAAGTAAAGTTGAGAACATTAACAAGTATGTTGCAATTAAAAAGAAAAACAAATTTCATCTGTAAATTTGTAAAATGTTACAAATATGTCCATAATATATGTACTATTGGTGAAAGTGATTACGCATTAGGTTGGAAATAAAACAAAACAATGAACAAGACTGTGTATTCTTTCAAAAAACTGCATTAAAATTGTAGTTCCAGTTTTCCAGCCATTTGTCAGAACAACCGATTCGGGATAAGGTAAGTGTAAGTGGTTTGAATAAATATTGTGGTGACATCTAGCGATAGCTGGTGTGCATTTTCGATAAATGGACTGATGGACAAGCAATTAAAAATCACGTAGGCCACTTTGAAAGTATTGTCTACGTACTTCAAATGAAGAAAGATGTATGTAGAATTGCAAAAATTTCTTTTTACTTGTTGTAAATTTCACAATTATCAAACAACAACAATTGATACCGAATATTTTTAGACGCTACTGACAGCGTCAACAATGATGTGACCCAAAAAGAAAAAAATGCTCAAAATTGAAGTTTTATGACGCTCATGAGGGAAAGAGACGAAACGATGTACTCGAAAGAGCACGCCCGATGTACACAATGCATTTTTGAAGGTTCGACGTATGTGGAGATTTTCTGAGCGCCGCTATAGATTGTTATTTATATACACGTACTTCATACAGATAAATAACATCTAAATCCGATTTTTTTGCTGCCGCAAAAAATTAGAATTAGAATAAAACGCAGGAACCAAGAATTAGACATTGATTATGGAACCATTTACGTGTTTTATGGTAATGTGATTGTTTAAAAGTGAAAATTATTATTCGCTCGGAATTTGTGATGTGTTTTAATTTTTTTTACCACTACTATTTTTGGTTAGTGGTTTGGTAACCTCACTTTAATGCGATTTAGCCGTCATTCCCATCATCATCAATGTATACAAAGTGGATTGCATCTTTTTTTTTCTCTCTCAAATGAAACGAACAGAGCAACGACGACGAAAAAAGAAACGTTTTCGTAACAAACATAAAAACTATTCCTTTATTCAGTGTATTTTGGTGCAAAATGGTGTAAACAAGATCCGCGCTCAAATTTTTATTCAAAGATGATGAAAACTACGTCTCTAACGATGCAGTGAATGATCCCATGCAATTTTTCTTTCTTCTAAAATAATTGGAAATGTTATATAATGTGATTGCTGTTGCCGTCACCACGGTGTCATCAAACACACTCAATTTATTTTCTTTTGCTTTTCAAAGAGATCAATCTAAATATGTGTCTCTCTGTCTTTCTCTTCTTTTTTTTGGCACAAATGCGTTTTAGGATGTTGACAGCTCACAATCATATATTAACGATTTATACAGTGACGATGACAGCAGTAATGTTCAAGATTCGTTAATATATCTAAAAAATGTTGTCATCGGCAGCGATAAACAGAAAACAATAGTCATCACACAAGGAATTGTACCGCGACTGATGTTTTTATTATCACAAGATAACACACCACTACCAATACGGTATGATGCAGCAATTGTTTTGGGTAAGCATTAATAATAGACGAATTTAGTTTATGTCTATGTACGACATGTACGTATTGATTTTGGCTCCAATTTTCTATGATTTAAATCATCTTTTAACAGGTTCACTGTCGAAGGGTTCCGATGAAAATGTGAGATCCCTAATTGAAGATGGCCTTATACAAGTTCTACTCAAAATTATCACAAATCCAGCCACTGATAAGCATCTCATTGAGATTTGCCTATGTGTAGTACGATCGATTTATGAGCATCCATTTGCGCCCAAAGAAATCATTAATACAACATCAACATTGAGCTATCTAATTGGTAAGTTGGACATTATTGTTAAAAAAATAAAAATGAAAACACATTGAAAATGTTCGGTGTTGTTGGACTTTCAAGCAGGTTTGGCATCGCCGGAAAATACAATTCAGTGTCAGGCATGTGTGGCAAATATTTTGGTGCCAATTTGTCATAATTCGATTGATCAAAAGATGCTGTGTAAGGCAGGTGCAATTCCATTATTAGCTCGTTTGATAACAACACGATATACAATACTGCAAATACCTGCACTCAAATGTTTGGCGGCAATGTGCTTTACAAATAAATATGTTTCGGATATTGTGTGCGTAGCAAAGTGAGTAAAACTGAATAGAACCATTTTTCAATGTATCGGTGGACGACTAGCAATTAATTATTTTTATTTTACCCGCTTGACAGCCATGAAGAGAGATCAATTCCAGATATTTTAAGTACATTAACATCAAGAGCGAGGATTCCCGAAATTCAAATAGCAGCAGCACGCTGTTTAACCTATATACATCGTTCGGGTTCATTGAGTTCGACCGATTCGCGAATCGTTTACAAGACGTTACCGTGTTTGGCTCGGCTCTGTACAGAAGAATTTGAGGAGAATATTCGAGCAACGGCTGCTGAAACATTGGCATATCTAGCTGAAATTGATTCAGAACTACAACGACTCGCTGCAATAAGCAATCATTTAATAAATTCATTAAGCAATCTATTACAATGCTCAAATCCAGCACCGCGACAAGGTGCATTTCGATGCTTTGCATCATTGGGAGCTAATGATGAGGAAATTCGAAAGCGTATCATCGAAAAAGATGGCATTATGGAAGAAGTATTGGCCGGTCTTGGTGATCCATGTGCCGATGTTCGATTGGCGGCGGTTCGTTGCTTGCACTCATTATCACGTTCGGTGCAACAATTGCGAACAACATTTCAGGACCATTTAGTTTGGAGACCATTAATGGCATTATCATCGGGTTCGCCATCGAAGGAACTATTGACCGTTGTAACATCAACCATATGTAATTTATTATTAGAATTCTCGCCGGCCAAAGAACCAATGGTTGAATTAGGTGCTATTGAATTATTATGTCAACTCACACAAAATTCCGAATTGGCGCTACGATTGAATGGTGTTTGGGCTCTAATGAACATGACCTTTCAAACCGAAGAGCACATTAAAACCAAAATTATCGGCACACTCGGCACTGATAGGATATTTCAATTACTAAACGATTCAGATACAAATGTTATTATGAAAACACTTGGACTATTACGGAATCTAATGAGTAAATCAACGGACATTGACAATATCATGTCGGGTCATTCGGATCAATTGATGCATATGGTATGTGAATTTAAATCTTTTACCCTCAAGGTGCCATTGAAGTTTTTTGATTTTATTTTAAATCATTTGATGACCATCAAATCATTTATCCATTTAGATTATTACCGTATTAGAATCGCCGCATACTCCAGAAATCAAAGAGCAGGCCTTGTGTATTATAGGGAATATAGCTGCCGGCGCTGGTATCACTGATTATGTCATGGAAAATGAACGTATTTTGAGAAAATTATTCGATTTTATAGTAAGTGATTTTTCATTGAACGTTTTGTCGAACATAAATAATACGAATTTTCATTTCAGAATCACAAAGATGTGAAACTTCAAGAAGGTGCAATGTTCGCAATAAAAAATTTGATTGAGAAAAGTGATTTAAATACACAGCAAAGATTGTCACGATTACAAGAGTTGGGCATCATTGAAGAGTTGGAAAAATATTTAAACTCAACATCCAGAGAATCGTCAAGGACTTCCGAAGAGTAAGTGTTATCACATTTTCTTTATTTGTAATTTCATCCATTAATAATAATAATAATAAAAATATCGATGTTTTCCATAGCATTCGCGCAATGATACGTCGGTTAAAAAGTTATTCATCGTAAATTGATGAATACATTCAGCCACAGTTCATTTCAACAGAGTACGAATGTGAAATGTTGCGCTTTTCAGACAAGAAAAAACAAACAAACGAAAGACAATGAAATTAAAGAAACAACAAAGCGTCGGAATGTGAGAAATGTGAGAAAGGATTTTTTAATTAAAAAAACGAGCTTTGATCATTCTTTTACATTCATCAGATGCAGCTCAGCGTTGCACAATTTTGACAAACAAAAAAAACTAGACGAGTCACTAAAAATGTAGAACAAAGTAAAAAGATATCATCCTCATTTATTCATCAAACACTATGTTCGCATCGCAATCAAAGCCAATTTAATCACTAAACAAATTTTCTTCATATGCATGGTGTATGTACATAAACTACATAAAACAAACACACAAATACAATCGCATGTCTCATTTTTATTTTGTATCAATCATTTTCATATGCTCTATTGTTGATAATATTTTTCACGTAACAAGTTTTTTTTTTCTCGATTATTTAAAAAATAAATCAATATTTTTGAAATTTATAAAAAAATTAAGAAAAAAAAACCACATGTAAATGTTATTGCTATGCAACAAAAATGAAAATATCACAAGGCAAAAAACAATTTAATCGAAAAATTTAAAAAAATATGAGAAAAAAATGACATTAATAGACGTTTTATAGTACTATTTACTATTTATTTATTGACAATTGAAAAAAAAGAAAACAACAAAAAAGAAATTTCTTAAAACAAATTCGAAACATTATGTGTTTTGTTGGAAAACTCAAATAATAAAAAAAAACCTTCATACGAAGTGGCAAACAGAACAAACACATTAGGCGGTCATTGTTTTTTTATTTAGTTTATTTTGTCTATTCACAAAACTTATTTGATTTTCATTTCAGCATCAAAGAAGATACCATCTACAGCAAAAAATACAGAAGAAATATGTAATTAAGGTTTGTTTTTTTTTTATTTAATGATGACAGATGTGGCCCGACCAACCACTAAAAACTAATACGTGAAATAAATTGGCGGGCAATAAAAACTGACTTTACGATAGAGAAAACGAAGAAATAAATGACATTTTGTGGTTTTGTGTTTTTGGATGGAATTTTAACCATTCTATTTTAAATGACGTCCAACATTTTAAACGTAAAAGATGGCAATGCGAATTCATCAAAAATCATTCACTTTTCATAAGAATTCGTCCAATTTGGTTGGACATCATTTTTCTATAGAACGATATACTCAAAATGAAGTTGCTTATAAAATAAATGGTACAATTTTTTTTTTTGTAAATTTTTCGTAGTCACTTTGCTTCCTGTTACGAGCAAAAAAATGGCTCGGAAATTTATTTAGGGTTTTGTATGTGTCGCTTGCATTTAACATTTGCATCACATTTCTTCTCTTTCATTTTGACCAATAAAAGGACGTTGATGCGTGCTCATGCGATTTTGATTGGCAACATTTTCCAAAACGAACATTGATTTAACATCAAAAATTGAATTCACACTAAAAAAATGTCTTAACTTTTTTGTTTCAAACTCTGTAGAATTCATGTCAAATATCTATTAAAATTTTGAATTTTTTGTTTTGTTTGTTGTTTATAAACACAACTAAATTAGTTCTGACATGTTTTTATCCCTCAATGTTATTATTTCTGTGTGTTTTTGTTTTATTAACTAGAAATTTGGCTATACTGTTTTAAATGTTATTTTCATACTATAACACATCAACATCACAATTATTTTTTTTGGAATGTAATCGGCCATTTGATGGAAATGTTCGAAAGTTGTGTTTGAAATAAATTTTATTTCATTTTGGTATTTATGGCGACTGCGTATATTTTAATTGCATTTCACATTTGCAATTGGTTGGGCATAAATTTGAGCATATATGCTGCCTTTGGCCAACGTTGTATTTGGCCCTTTGCACAGTTCACTCTTTGATCCTTGTGCTTGAATCAATCGGGTCGAGCGCATTGTTGGATCGGAACCTTTGGCAAGACAACTACGATTTCCTTTGCACAAGTCGGAATTGGCTCCATTCCAGGCGATATAATCAGCCCTGTGAACAACAAAAAAAAAAAATTCGAATATTACAATGAATGAACAAACGAGTTGCACACTTATAGCTTCTCTATACTTACAGTAGTAAATCTTCGTTTGGCCCTTTGGCTGAAATTGCATTTGGACCGATTGACAGTTTATTGTTATTCCATGGAGATTTGTACACCGATTTATTGTCCAATTCGTTATTGATTATACTGTCACCCGAAATTGCTGGCCTGTTTGGTGTTAAATAATTTAATGAATGTTTCTAGCAATAGTTTTTCAATCAAAACAATACAAAATACAATAAGAATCGATTCTAGAACACTCTATCAGTTTTGTGAAAAAGAATGTTTGCTGCTTGAATCAAATTGATTTAAAATTGCTAAATTAAATGCTATACACGTACAATCAAAAATGGAAAACATTATAAGCAACATGTGAAAAGCATGATTTCCATCAATTTATGATTTTTTATGAATCAAAAGCCATTATTTTATGGAAAAAACTAAACAAAATTCAATTTACTGAAAGAAAAAAAAATAGTGAACACATTTTTTTTTTATTGAACTTATAAAATATTTCACAAAATTCTACCATAAATGAATTACGTTTAAACAATAAATAAAAGCTCAAAATAACGCTATGAACACTAAAAAAACGGAAAAAAAGCATTTTGTTTTCATACTTTGCATGATCTGATTTAGTCTTAAAGCGACTGCGATACATCTTGGCATTGGCATTGGTTGGTGTGATTGCAATGTCGGATGGTGATGATAATGATTCCGGCGATGATTTCGGCGTACATTTTACTTTAACGCATTTATCGGAATTATTTTCATCATCTTGTGCTAAAGTGCTTTTGGTATCGTCTTTTGGAATTGCGGTGGATAAAGTTGTGCTTTCACTGCGGCTGCATATTTCGTATGTACAAAATAATAATAATGCAATGTGAATGAGAAAATGAAATGGTATATATACAAAATCGCTTTTGAATGTGCCCGTTTGTTCGACCATCAAATATATCATTAAACATCAAGCAATGTCCGGAGGGAAGCAAATAAAGTAGTTGGGTTTTTTATTATCGGACAGATTTATCTCAATGACAATTTTCCCCGCTTTTTTTGCTTCTCTATCTCTCATATATTACAATAATTGCTCAAATTGTTTTATTGGAATTAAATTGATTGATAGCAATAAACAGTTTCAAAAAAAAAAAAAAAAATAACTAGCGGCAATTTGCGGTAAAGATTAATCAAACGATTAGAATGTGATATGATAGCCAAAGCAAATTGAATTTATGAAGACTTATTTATGTTGTATAGCCACAACGTCAATTCCCATGGGGTGTTCTATCCTTTCGATTAGTGTTATTAGTATTATTATTTCCTTGTCTATTTTTCCATCATTGAGGAAATTATGGATATTTCCTATATGTGTCGAAATTGTTGAGTATTTCATTTATGATGTGTGTATGTGTGCACATTATTGGTTTACCGACATTCCTCAACGATGGAATAAATGGAAGTTGATTTTGTTAGTGGGCGTTTCAAGGCGTTTTGTATTAGCAATGATGATTTTGTGATTTGTTTTCTTCTTTTTTTGCTTGTGTGCTTAGTCCAAAAGATAATTGGTACAAAAAATCCCTTACCTTTCTTCATGATCCACAACATCTGGAGTAGCGTCTGCCTGAACAATTGCTGGGCCAGCACACGTTGGAGCTGTTTCATTTTCAACTGAAGCCTCTTCCTTGACCTCATGTTTTATTTCATCTTTGGTTCCTTTATCGTCTTGCATTACAATTTCCAATATTTTGCATGCTTTTTCCTCTGAATAATCAACACTTTCCAGTGCCATTGTAATTATTCGTCCGGCCACATCCTTGTATCGGCCTTTCAGTTGATTTTTTACTGAAATTCAAAGAATTTCAATTAAATTGAAGTAGAAAAGGGAAGCGAACGACAGATAGAAATAGAGAGAGAGAGAGTAAAATTGTACACACTTTTTTGTTTCTCTTCATTTGATTTCAATCTTGGCTGTGGTGGTGGTGTGTTTTCCCTTTCGATTTTCTCCTTTAGAATTTGTTCTTCACGTGCACGATTTGTTGGCTTTGGTGTAGTTGTATCACGTTTTTCATATCCCATTGACGACAATTTTTCGGACGCCTTTTGCACATTATTGTCAGCATTTGCCAATATATCAAGCAATAGCATTTCTTCGGCTTTTGGATAAATACTCTTTAGATATCTGCAAGGGGAAATCATTGATATTACTAAAATGTTGTACAATAGTTTGTATTCCTTAATCGGAGAGAACGAATTATAATATTGAAATTGGTTTTTTTTTTGTAAATAAATATATAAAAAGCGTTAATATTAAATGATATGGACAATAATAGAAATGAGCTCATGCATTTATTACAAATGAATTAAAAGTTCTTAAAATGAAGCGAAATGATGACATTGGCCAAACAAAAGAAGAGCGAACGGGACAATAAACGGAAAGCGTATTGGAAGAAACAAAGCAATTAAAAAAAAAAGTCAAATTTAATGGTGAAGATAGTGTTTATTCTCCATAGTGGAGTATGACATTTCACCTAAGCTTCATCTTTGGTGATGAATGTGGTTTGGGCGAACATCGAAATCCCTCTCCAACACGTGGCGAACCGTAGCTGGCACTTGCACAGCTACTTGCTGGTCGAGCTGGAATCGGACTTGCCGTTCGAGATGTTGGCGGCTCAAAACGACTCATCGGCGGAGTCATTGTAATCAATGAATGTTTTTTACTTAACGGATGCCGTGGCAATGGTGGCGTTGAATATGGGCCAGGCGTCGTTAAAGGATGCTTTTCCACTTGTAAAGCAGATATAACTACAGCTTCACGATTGTAATATCTTTTAATATTTACAGTATTTTGGTTTTTTTTTTTTGGTTCGGTTTGAATTCGATTTTGTTAGTTTAGAGCGGTGAATGTGATTTATTTAGTATTTAGTGTTTAAAGCGGCAGCATTAAGAAAAAACAGATGTATACATAGTGTGTTAGTGTTTAGTGATTCGTGTTTGTGTTTTTGGTTGTGTGTAGTGTTAAAAAGAATTTTTTTTTTTAGTATATATTTATATACAACATCAAGATTTAACTTCCATCCAAAAGAGCAGTTCATTTTGAATGTCACATATTTCAATGGATTTGAAAAATAAATCTTGTCGTTGTAGCATTTAAAAAAAAATGAAAAAGAAACTAAAGAAATATCATTTTTGTTTTGGTTAAAAGCATTTGCGAACAACACGTGTATATTTAGCCATTAGTCAATGTATAATTGATTCAGTCGAATGAGTTTGAAATGTGAATTATTATTATTTATTTATATATCTCCCTCAAATCCACCGTAATCAATGTATACACTTTGCATTTAATCGATAATATTTATATATTTATATAGACACAGTCACACAGATGCTTCATTATCTATATTGAAATAGATTACAGAGATTTTGTGCACAAAAATAGTCTACTCACTTTTTTAGCAAGAGCCGAATATGGGCATCACTCGCCGTTGGAAACATTGTGTTGATTTTGGCAACAGCCGCATCGGTATCAGCTTGTGTTATAAATGATGTTTCTTGATAATTTCCACAGGTGCTGCCATTTTGACTGGTTTTATCAAAATGCTGAATTCTTGATATGCTGGGACTGCCCATTCGCATGATTGGCGACATTTCCTAAACCATTACACCAAACTCATATTAATCAACTCATCAATTTAAATTTGCATTTCTATTAATCAAAGTCATTTTTTGTTTGTACACAAAGTTGAATTTGTGCATCGGACCGTTAAGATGAATCGTCAAGCTTTAATTAATTTAATTTTATTGTTTTGATGATTATTGATTTTGTAAAGCATATCATTCTGTTCGTATGTAGAAATGAATGTCACGCTTTAATGGATTTGATTGTGCCTGACCGATATACACAGATTCTTCTACATTGTGCGCCGGGTATTTGCAAATTATAACAGAATTTAATGGATATATAAACGCCAATAGTATTGCAACAAAAAAATCAACACAAGAAAATAATAAGAACAAAAAAACGATACACAAACAGATTACAACTATAGATAAATTCGTGTGAGTGCTGTGTCGATTGATAGCTTACCATTTTTTGTAATTTATTTGTTAATAACGGACTGGTTGATACATTGTACAGTGACGCTGTGTTCGGTGCTTGAAATGCTTGAACCGCAGGTGGATGATTATTAATGGGATATATCTGATATACATGATATGGGGATCCATGCTATTTAGAAAGTAAGAAAGTTGGGTTTGTTCACACACATAAATAATCTTAAATGAATGAATAATTAATGAACTAAATTCGTAATGGCAAATAGAGATTATTCAATATTTCTTATTATTATAATTTCCTTAATTTCCATTATTTTGTATAACATTTACAATAATATAATTCGATTACTAACAATAACTTGACAACACTAGACTTGAAAATCGAGTATTTTTTTTAAATCTTCAACAAAATCAGTTGGACATCGTAAAATTAAATATTTTTTCAAAACAAGAAAAAGACATCGATAATTGCTTTTTAAACTAGTTTTGGAAAGGTGACTTCACCATTAATTAATTCGAATTAGAATGTTTTATACATGCTATCATGCTCGGATTTCAATGAGCTAATTTGATTTGAACTTATATCCGGAACGGATCTCTATAGCTGAGATGAGCAATCCACCTAGCATACTCATATGGGTGCCACATGGATATCACATACATTGTGATGTCCATGCGACAACATGGATTAATTATTATACTACACATTAGATATTATTATAATGCACCCATTCATTCATTCTAATGCTCGTTCATTCAATAAAGTGACTCAGTCGTATTTTGGAACCATTGTGTTTCACTTCGTCTACAAACTAAACAATATTCGCGCTACTGAATTTAATTTGTTGAATGACCAAGCGGAAATTAACAATTTTCTTTCTTGGAATCTTTGAATGATTAATACTGTTTGTATCCACGATAAAAAAAATTCATTCTTAATAAACATGCAATCGGGAATTTTCCTACATATAGTCGTTTGCTACATTTTTGGTAGGTGTTAAGTATCAAAAAGATACAAAATTCTGTGGAGCTGTGTAATATTGTTTGAAATGATGCTTAGATTAAATCAAAAGTCATTTTTATAGACCGTAAGTCATCAGCATTTGATTAAAAAGGGCCACCTTTTCTTGTATATATGATAAAAAAATGATTGTGCAAATCATTCGAATGATTCTGCAAAGATTGAAACAGCATCTCTAACTTGTGAATGAACTTATGGAAGTTATTATACAGGTCAGTTAAACAAGATTAATTTGTTGAAAAGAAAGATTGATTCTTCCATTACCATGATAATCGACATAATTTTATGATAAAGGTGTTTCTCGGGTTGTTTAACTCAATTTCGGAAACTATCCAAACTTTTCTTAAAACTTTTCACAGTACTCGATTGTCAAAGTTCTCAAAATATTGCCTACACATCTATTGCTTTTCTGAGTTTTTTTTTAAATTCTATTGTATACCTGTGCGATAAACACTTAAACAATCGATATGAAACAATGTCGTAATAATAAAATCAAAATGAACCAAACAATTGTTTGTGTTTGTGAACTACAAAAAAAAAACCTTACAGAGATCTAGTTGACAAATCACGTTCATGTTCAAAAACAATTAGCTAAATTGATGGTATAATGGATACGGTACGTAAGCGAAATACGTTGGTGACGCACACGATATTCGTGTTTCGTTCTGAAGGGTCATGGTCAATAATACAAGAGTGCTTTAAAGTCATAATCAAATTGAACGCATTAATATAAAAATTGAATATTTGAACAATAATCACAACAAGAAAAACAATGCAAACCATAAAATGTAAAATATTTTGATTACCTGTGAGCTTGTTTGCATGGGTATTGATTCGGTTGATGCATGCTCATTTTGCAGTTGACGATATCGAATGCGAGGATCTTCAAGTTGCATGGCTTTTGTCAAGTAATTGATGTAGTAGCTGAAAGAAGAAATACACGAAAAAAAAGAGCACAACTTCAGTTAAACAAAAGACTGATTCAAGTGAACATGCCCGCAGAGCATCAATTGTTGTCAACGTTTAACAAGCTCCCTCAATGTACGAAGAGAGCGAGTGAAAATGTAATGCAAAAGACGAGCGAAAAAAACCACCACAGAAGAGAGCTAAAAAAACACACAATATCATACCACCCGATTTGTAGCCCTTGATTTTTATTAAACGATATTGCAAATGACAAGCACTATCGAAAATTTCGTATTCAATAAAACTGGTATATTCCTCTTCTGTTGATGCCTATTAGATTCAAACAGTGTCGCGGTCGATGATACTGATACTGCAGTAGCAAGCACAGATGACGAATTAATTATGTCCTTGATTTAACAACCAAATATCATTGCACACATCACAGCAACTCTTAACGCAAACTCAACATTGGCAAAGCACGTTCACATTGTGATGCGATGCAATTTACTGCACTGCATTGCACACAATCTCCGAAAGCCGACACCAGCCCATCAAAACACACATACACTTTTAAATATGTACATTGCATACAGGAAAAGTGTGCAGTGCAGCAAAGAGAAATTCGAAAGTGAGGAAAATAAGGAGAGGCGAATGCAGCACATTTTGAATAACTTTTTTTTTGCTCTATCTCTTTCTCTCTGTGTGTCTCTTCTTGTTGTTAAAGTGTTTCTGGAGGTTTATAATTATTGTTGTAACGGTGCATCGTTGACCCAGTAAATAGAAAAGAAAGTGTTCATCATTGTTATACGAATCGTTTATCATGAATATCATCATTGAATTAAAGCGCCACTTCTTATGCAACAGAGTCATTGACGTTATAAAACAACCCCTGTGCAAAAATGATGATGGGCTGTGATGATGCGATTTATTTCTTTGATGTTTTTCCACGGTGGCTTCATTTGTATGTGCGTGCGTATGTGAGTAGCGTTGGTAAAAAAAATATGGTTGCATTCAAACATGTTTAATTCAATTATGTGAAAATTGGCCAAAGTTAAACGAATTCCATTCGGAAAATTCAAGACACCATTCATAATACGTGTGTGAGGTGAGAAAAAACACATTACTATTTATATCAAATCAGAAACAAGCAATTGAAAATATTACCGATCCATTGACAGTTTTCGTAAATTTCGAAAATGGAATATAATGTGCATAGTTATAGAAAATGGTCCACAATTTACATAAGTAGTTGTCGTTAAAAAAACAACAACCATACAATGCTGCGTGATACATTACAATGACGATATAGAGCATCCAGCAAGTTATGCGTAAAAATATTCCGAAAAACACACGGCACAATATACACATTTTTGCTCGTTGATTTCATTTTTCTTTCGTTGCAAAATATTTATTACTTGGGCATTTGTTTACGGCCATTTTGGTGAAGCAAGTTATGTACAATTGTACATTTGAATTACGTTGCAAAAATCATTGACATGTAATTCTAATTTAATGTGAACGTAAATGGATATCGAGTTACACGTTTCAACCAAAATGGAAATAAGATTATTGCAAACGACGATTCAATAATTAACTTACCACTTTCCCGTTTTTGTATCATATTTTACATCCCATCCCGGTGGATACATATTTTCAGTTAGTTGTAAATCCGACATCATAAATCCGTTTGTTGTTTGTTGTTGTTTTTGTTGATAATATTCTCACATGAATATTAGAAATTGCAAAAATTATGATTTTTTTTTATTTTGCCACACTTATTTACTTATTCACCTTATATTTATCACATTTGTCATCAAATTTTTTTTTGAGAAACAGGAAGAGAGACAGAGATACGGAATTTGTTTACTTTCGTATTATTCTGAACTACGGAATGTTCTAACTGCATGTACTGCCAGTTGTTACTATACTGAAATGCCTGTTTGGCTTTACTATTTATATACACTTTGTGTGCGTGCGTGTTATCCTTCAATGTGAAAAGCGCCTGGGAAAAATCAATTTTTTCTCTTAAACATGGTTTACAGTTTGAATTTTACCGCAATTTTCAACGATTCACAACGGTGCACTCATTTCATGTATTCATTCCTTATTTACTGTTTTTTTTCGCAATTGACAAATACATTTAACGACAAAATGATTGAATAAAAATCAACATTTTAACATAAATTGACAGCAATTTAGTTTGTAAACAAAATCATCGACTCCGTGTTAAAATCACAAATAAATTTGCCAACCAAAGCAAGTATAAAGCACCGTTCAGCTAACAGAGGATTATTGTCAATACTCATGTCTGCACGCATACACTCGCACCAACTCACATACACACAATGGCCACTCATCCATTGATGTTCAATACGTAGACGAATGAAATGTCAGAATGGTTGTGTGTGTATTTTGGGTTTTCTTTCGCTGCATATAATAATACAAATACTATGAAAGATCATTACGACATTCGACATTTGTCATTGTTTTGGTATTTTGGCTTAAAAAAGAATTTTTATCTTTTACTTTCGTTTCAATGTGTACCAAATTGTTTGTATTTTAGATTTGTTTTTTTTTCTTTTTTTTCTTTCATATTGTTATTCATTTAAATGTTTATTTTTATGGTTTGACTATTGTAAAAGTTAAATAAAATTTGAAAAAATCAAAGTGCTGTTGGTGAATTTGATTCGAAGAAAAACAGCAGTTTTTTTTAGCGAGCATATAGGAAGAAATGGAAGATATTTTTCATTGGTGCCGTGAAGGCAATTCGATACAAGTGCGATTATGGTTGGACGATGTTGAACATGACATGAATCAAGGGTAAACACAAAAATATTTTTACTGAATGGCTCAACCAGATCGATAAAAAGAAAATTATGAAAATTAATTTGTTTTTTTTTTCATACACTATGTATGTGCCATAAATGGTATGCAAACGTCACACCCATCTCAGCTTAGTAATATAAATACTATGTGGGATGATAGTTTTTCATGTCGAAGAAAATGCGATTTGGCATATATTGAAATGTGTGTGTGTGTAATGTTATGGGCCATGTGTTTTTTTTTTGTTTTTTGTGTGAATTGATGAAAAATGGCATCGCATTCGAAATGGAAATTTAAATAATTAATTTAATTTTCAATTTTTTTTTTGTAGTGATGATCATGGATTCAGTCCATTGCACTGGTTGGCCAAAGAAGGTCATACAAAACTGGTTGAGATGCTTTTGCAACGTGGAGCTCGTGTGAATGCCACCAATATGGGCGATGATATTCCACTGCATTTGGCTGTTGCGCACGGTCATTTGGATATTGTTTTATTGGTATGCGGTTTCTTCTCTCTCTGAGATGTTTTTTTTCTTCTAATAATTCTAAATCATTTTAGTTGTTGAAGCACAAATCTGACGTGAATACCACCAACGAGCATGGAAATTCGCCATTACATTATGCTTGCTTCTGGGGCTATCAAGCAATTGCCGAGGAGCTTGTAAATCATGGTGCTCTTGTTTCAATCGCCAATAAAGATGGTGACACACCATTGGATAAGGCTAAAGTGTTGTTGGCAAAGCGTTTACACGATTTGGCCATTGAAAGTGGTCAGGAATTGAAGAAAATCAGTTTTAAAGATCAAAGTTGGCTTGGACTCAAAACACGTTCACGTGACGCAACATTGTCTCGCTATAAGGGCATCAATATTCGCGATTTGGAATTGCATACAAAACTTGCAATCACACCATCCGGTGATACATGGCGGGGTCGTTGGCAAAAAAATGATATTGTTGCGAAAATATTATCGGTTCGCGATTGTAATGCACGAATCTCACGAGACTTTGATGAAGAATTCCCAAAATTGCGCATATTCTCGCATCCAAACATTCTGCCAGTCATTGGTGCATGTAATTCGCCACCAAATTTAGTCGTCATTAGTCAGGTAAAAAAAAGAGGATAGTTTTATATTTAAAATGAGACGAGCAGACTTAATAAAATTTGGTTTGTAATTCATTTTCAGTACATGCCAAGAGGTTCACTGCATGATTTACTCCATGGTGCGGCTGGTGTTGTTGTGGACACAGCGCAAGCAGTTCGATTTGCATTGGATATTGCCAGAGGCATGGCATTCCTTCATTCATTAGAGCGCATTATACCCGAATATTACTTGAATAGTTTCCATATCATGGTTAGTGAAAAAAAACATAAAAAGAAAAAAAACGATATTTTTGGGATTCATATTTTTATTTTGAATTCAAGATTGATGAAGATTTAACAGCTCGTATTAATATGGGAGATGCAAAATTCTCGTTTCAAGAGCGTGGACGCTTGTATCAACCGGCATGGATGTCACCAGAAGCCTTACAAAAGAAGCGCAACGATCGTAATTGGGAAGCGTGCGATATGTGGAGCTTTGCCGTTTGCATATGGGAATTGAGCACACGAGAAATTCCATTTGGCGATTTATCACCAATGGAATGTGGTATGCGTATCGCCACAGAAGGTTTAAGATTGAAAGTGCCACCCGGTACGTCAACATATTTCTCCAAATTGATCACCATCTGTATGAATGAAGATCCCGGCAAACGGCCCACATTCGATATGATTTTGCCGATTTTGGACAAAATGAAACGATAAGAATCTCATTCGATGGTTCTTAGATCGCATTTGCAATACAAGTAAAGCAGCTATATCAGAAATCAATCGAGAAGGAAACAACGACAAACGTTTATTGAATTTTATTTTTTTATGTCTAACAGGAATAGTTTGTGAATGTGATTCTTTGTGCCTGAATCGATGAACTTGGTTATTGTTGTAAATCAATCATCCAAATAACACATAAACTAATTGAAGTGAATGAAATTTATATCACTAAAACCAATTCACTCACACACTCAATCTATAAATAATTTACGCACAAGTTCTCGAAATGAATGTTGCTGAAATAGTGCCGAATGCAAAAGAAAAACTGCTGCCAAATAAGTGCCTTATACAATAACTATAGTTTTAGCTATTAATCGAATAAATTTGATTTGTCGTCTTTTTTGTCGTTGTTCGGCACAACAATTTTTAATTTTTAACCGATTAGTTCGATGTGCCAAGAAAGTATAACAATTTTAAACTGTATTACTTAATGCGTTGTAAATTACTTAATCGATTGTACTAATTTTAAAAGTAATTATTTTTTTTTTCTCTTAATTTTTCAACCGATTTTTCGAAATCAATTTTATTTTAATTTTATATTTTATATAATATACACAAATATTTTTTTTAGAATGTATTTTTGTTTGTTGATAAAACACGATTTAATTCACACGTGAATTTGAATAAAAAAACATATTTGAAATAAAAAGATAAAACAGTAACCGAAACAAGGTGATGATTTATTTTAATTCAATGAGTGAAAGGCATCATCAGGCTTTTTTTTACTTGAAAGAATGCAAACACAAAAAAGACTTTATTATGTAATTACAATAAAATTCATTTATTGTACTTCTTTTTTAAAAAAACAAATTAATTAATTTTATTCGATACAAAACAAATCATTAAAATAAATGCAATGGCATTTGATTGTTGACCAGACTTGTGCTCGAGTTAAGTAGTCATTATAATCAGCTGCTATTTATGTTCACGTGTGTACCATTATCCATCAGCAACCATCAATAGCAGCACTGATTCAATTGGCTTAAGCCCAGATCTGGTATATATGAATTTTAATGGAAAGGCAGGTGATCATCAGGTTTTAAGATTGTCTCATCGGTTTTAGATCTTCAGATATTGAAAATTCACATCCTGTACTAGCGATAATATCTTCAATTTGAACATCTTCAGCTATTTCGATTAACGTTAAGCCGGATTCTTTGTCTACCTCAAATACACCCTGGAAATGAAACGGAAATTGTATTAAAATGATGACATGCATAAAAATCCAATAAAAACGTACCTTTTCTGTGATGATCATGTTCACACAATTCTTGCCAGTTAATGGCAAATTGCATTTGCTTAGGATTTTATGACCTCCATCCTTTGAGTTGTGTTCCATCGTTATAATTACTTTTGTGCCAGGCGCCGCGACTAGATCCATTGCACCGCCCATTCCCTTTACTAGTTTTCCCTTCAAAGAAAAAAACTAATTATATTGACCGTTGATCAGTTAACGGAATGATTGTTCAACTTACAGGAATCATCCAGTTGGCTAAGTCGCCATACTGTGAAACTTCCATTGCACCTAATACCGATACATCGATATGTCCACCTTTTAAAATATGAAGTATGATATTATATAAGCAAATTTATTAGGAATAGAGAAAATAAAAAATCAATTTCCACCTCGAATCATTGCAAACGAATCATCTGAGCTGAAGTATGATCCACCCTGTAAAATAGTTACAGTTTCTTTTCCAGCATTTATTAATTCCGGATCGACCTAATGGATTTCAAACGGAAACATATATACTTTATTTTTTCTTAAAAACCTATGTAGTCATTTACCTGATCCTTTGTTGGGAATGGTCCCAGACCCAATATGCCATTTTCTGATTGTAACATTACATCTTTATCTTGAATGTAATTTGAGGCCAACATTGGCATACCAATGCCTAAATTAACATATGAACCATCTTCGAATTCAAGAGCTGCACGTTTAACAATTCGTTCACGCATTTTGGCGGCATTTGAAAGTTCGGTTTCCGATTCATTGGACTCCGATGTTATTTTAAGTCGTTCAATACGTTTTTCATAGTTGTCACCTTGAATGATTCGATGCACATAAATGCTTGGTACATGCACATGTTCTGGATCAATTTCGCCGACTGGTACAATTTCTTCTACCTCAACAATAGTACATTTGGCCGCCCGACACATGGTCGGATTGAAATTTCTTGCCGATTTGCTGAACACCAAATTTCCCAATTCATCGGCCTTTTGTGCTTTAATTAATGCATAATCGCCAACGATGGCCTCTTCCATTATGTAATCGATGCCGTTAAACATTTGCTCTTGTCGTGTTCCGCTGGCAATTTCAACGGTGCCATCTTCTTTGTATTTAATTGGTGAGCCGCCTTCATGTACAAGTGTACCGTATGCGGTAGGTGTAAAAAATGCTGGAATACCAGCACCTCCAGCTCGAATTCGTTCGGCCAATGTACCTTGTGGCGTTAATTCTAATTCTAATTTACCGGTTAAATATTGCTTTTCAAATTCAGCATTTTCACCCACATACGATGATATCATTCGTTTAACTTGTTGATTTTTCAGCAAAAGTCCCAAACCAAAATTGTCAACGCCAGCATTGTTTGAAACAACTGTCAAATCTTTGGCGCCTTGCTTTAGCATTGCGCCAATTAAATTTTCGGGAATTCCACATAATCCAAAACCACCAACCAACAATTTAGCACCATCTGGAATATCACTGACAGCATCTTCAGCACTAGCAAAAATCTTTCGATTTCCCGGTCGAATTGTTGCAAAATTACATGCCAAAATCTAATCAAACAGAAATATTTTCCGAGAGAAAACCATTTTTATGTTCAAATGTTGTTTTAAAAACAAATAGAAATCAAGATAAGATATTGACACACCTTCATTAAATTACCGTGTCGTAATGATTTCAATAGGATGTGATTGGTCCTAATTAACAGTGCCATAATTGGAAAATGTTTTTAGTTTTTAAATCTATTCAAATGCAATGTCTTTTATTGTTTATGCTTTTGTTAATTCTAATATTTTCCACGATTTTAACTGGGTATCACATGCAAATCAATTGCATTTAAAATAACTGTTTCGTCAGGCAAATCTATAGGACGATTAACAAGCAATGAAATTGCAAAAAACCCAATGAAGATAAGACTTTGTTATTTTTATATTTTCAATGCGATCTACGACGACAATTTTATCTATTGGAAAACAACCAGAAACAACAACAACAACTTGAACTGTCAACTAATACCTACATAACATCACGTCTACAACCATGTGAGTGGTTTTTGTCTTCGATGAATTTGGCAGTTTATTTCAATGTCGAACATATCAAGAGAACATACAAACAAACCAGCAAACAACTGAATAATTCATTTGGTATGCGATTTTTATTCTTCTAAAATTCAAATTAGACGAATTTCAAATCGTTAAACCAGTTCGCTAAATATCATACGTTTCATCATAAAGAATCGTACGCAAATGAATTTCATATGTCAATAAAATGAATTTATATGTTCTACTGCTCATCGAATCTCTATCTTTGATACATTTGTTGTTGCGTTATTTTTGTCAAATTATATAATTTTCATCGATTTAATTGTAATTTTCTGTTTATTTGATATATTTTCGTTTATCATCGATGGTCTTAATATTATGTCATCATAAAAATTGTCACCACTTTACAGGTGTAAAATCATTTGGCTTCAATTCTATATATTTTTTGTCGAAATCTCTATTCTTTTTTTCTTTGGTTGGTGGTTCATAGTCTGGGTTGATCGAAAGTTCAAATTGGATCATTTTTTCGTTGTTGTTATCATTTTGGAGTCGTATTTATGATAATAAATTTTCAACAAGTCTGAAAGAGCATAAGGCTCCGAACGAACAGAAATTTTCTTTGGAAAATAATAAATATAAAACGTAAACAATTGAATTGAAAATGATAGTTTGGTGAGTGTCAATATTTAAATTCCACTTAGTTCAGTGGACAATTTTAGCCGTTACATAAACCATTTGCGAGCGGTTGACTTTTTTTCAAGTAATCATTTAAATCAAATTAGATAAAAATTATAAACTGAATCAAATAATTAATTTGAATTTCATTAATAATGTTGTAACAGCACGATAACTTTGCAAATAGATAAGATTCTGTTCATAGTTATGCATTTTTCAAATCTACAGAGATATCGCTCACCAAAGTCTTTAAGCATTTTCCATTAAAAATTTAACTCTTTAAAACAGGAATTATCTATCAAACATTTAATTGGCAATTAAGGACGATCGACTGTGCAAGTTTGCACTTCCACTCTTGAATGTTCTACTGTTATTGTATAATTGGTGCCGTTAAATGACCTTAATTAAAGAAAAAGATAACTATGCATAAGTTTACATAAATTAGCTCTTAGATGCTCTTAGATTTATTCCTTATGCATTAAAGATAATTCAAGCAATTATAACACTCTTTTATATCTACGCAATAGTGTTTTTCCAATCTGTAGCACTAACGATAATAATAACGTGTGTATGTTTGTGTTTAAGCGCAATATGATTTATGTATAATTAGAATTGTTCATAATATTTTTGCACCATGACCTCGAAAGCCATGTTTATCAATCAAAAAGTGATTAAAAATGTAAAAAATACGCTAAATATGTGTTTAATATCTGTGTAATATCATGGTAGATCACGATGTTCGACAATTATGCCTTAAACCATCTCCAGGCCAAGATCTTTCCAACGGTCGTTTCCTTAATAGTTCAGATCGTTTGATCCGTTCAGCTGCCAATCCAGATGTAACACTAGTAATATTCATATTTCTTATTATTGAAATTTATGATATTAATTAGTTATTATATGAAGAAATTTCTTTATTTAAAAATAAAACGTAGAAAAAACAACAACAAATTATCGAAAAACAAACAAAAAAAACGCCTGAAAGTAGTAAATTATCTAGTTTTTTTTCCTTTAACTCCTTGTGGAGCATAGAGCCTCGAAAATTATCTAGTTAATTGGCTAAAAATTATTTTCGACGCGTTTTGTGTCTTTAGAATCCCGAAGCACGTTTTTGACCATATTAATGTAGGGATATGGTTTTTTTAGCATGATAACCACCACAGAAGATTAATTAAAATCCAACTATACTGGTGATTGGAAAAGGCACATTGCTGGTGTCGTTTTTGAGCGAATACTTTGGTGTGCAAAAATTTGTTAATTCGATAACTCGTTCCACAGAAACGTAATTGAAAATCTGACTTACAGGTTTTTTGAGAGAGGCTAGAAAGTAATTTTTCGACTCATATTGAATAATCGATGTAAAACTAGGACTCACAACGACGCCTAATGAGAAATATTGTTCATGATGTTACCAAAAAGGATACTTTAACTAGTAAAGTGCTATTAGATTTTAACAGATTTTGACAGTAAGTTTCGTCACATTCGCGCACATTAACCAAAAATGATAAGGATAATCTACATTGAGAAAAAGAATATGCACACATGCTATTGCATATATGTTTCAAATAATCAAATAAATTTTTTTACTAGTTTGAAGTCAATTTTGGTGGTCGTAATGATGATTCGTCACAATTTATTTTACAAAATTCAAAGATTAGCTTGTAAACACAAAGATTACTTACTATTAACGCATGACACTTTTAGTAAGTTGGTGTAAATAGTCATAGATACAAGTGCTTAACAAATTACATTTCCCATACTTTACACAAGTGCAAACAGGTTTTTTTTGTTAGTGTGCTATCGCTATTAAGAGACCATGTTCCGTCAATTGATGGTGTAGAACTATTTTTATGTGGGACAGATAGTAAACAAAAAAAAATAATAATAAATGATTATTAATGTTAATTTTGATTCAATAGAATTATTCTGAAGGACATATATTTTGATATGGTCTTAAATGCATTCACGACGCTACTATAAATAGTCAGTGTTTGGCAGTGTATTTTTCTAGTTGCTTATTAAGAGTGAACGCATTTCTAATAGAAACTGATCGCCACTACTGACGAAGTGCAAAGTAGAAGTCATTCGGGAAAAGTGATTTGATTGGAAATAAAGCAAAATGTTGCCTGTATATATAACCAAAATTTTGGAGAAAATTGCCAAGAATGAAGGATTGTCTGATTATGCGATTGAATTGAATCCCGGTTCAAATCATGGTGATAATTTTTTGGGTGAATTGATTGCAATTTCACTTTCTGGAACTAAATTTGAAAATGGCTTGGCCCAGAAATGTGAAATGAAATTACTTTGCAAACGGCCACCAACGAATAAAACGCGCCTGGAACATTTTAAATCAAATATTGTGTTTGATCGTGAAATTTACATATATTCAAAATTGTTGCCGGCTTTCGTTCGATTTCAGCAAGAGAAGGGACTGAGTGAGGAAGACTCATTTTCATCATTTCCAAAAGTGTATTCATGTGAAGCTAATCAAGAAGATGGAACCTATATATTGATTATGGAAGATTTAAGACCGAAAAAATTCACAATGTTGCCAAAAAATGAAGTTATTCCGTTCGATCATTTGACATATGTTTTACGTAATTTGGCGAAATTCCATGCTATTTCATTTGCAATGAAGGATCAAAGACCAAACGAATTTAAAGAATTTGAACAGTTGAAGGACACCTTCGGCGAATTTTTAATACACGGAAAAATTAAACTATTTTTGGATGAATCATGTTCGAGAGCTGCTGATGTACTAACGAATCCAGAGCACAAAAAACTCATGCAAAATTTCTGTAATACTTTTGTCGACGCGCATGATAATTGTGTATTTGACAAAGAATTTGCTGTAATAACACATGGAGATTTATGGTGTAAGTAATTCGTTTCAAAATCACAATAAAATTATAATTTTGCATACACTTTCAGGTAACAATCTTCTCTTCCGATACGATGATTTAAATGTAAGTGTGTTCTTATTATATTTTCTTTTTCTTTTTTATTCATTTCAATGTTAATTAATGTGTTTTTTAATTTTTTTCAGACAAATAAAGTGACATCGCTTCGTTTTATTGACTGGCAAAATTCTCGCTATTGTCCACTGGCACTTGATTTGCTGTACCTGATTTTCATTGCGACCGATAAAGAATATCGAGATCAACATTATGAAACACTCTTGAAAGTCTACTATTCACAGTTGAGTGAAACAATTCAAAAACTTGGTAGCGACCCGACAAAGTTATATACATACGAAAATCTCAAAAGTCAACTATGTAAATTTGGTGAATTTGCATTATTATTTGCCCCAGCGATGACTTTATTAAGCGTAGCTGGTTCCAAGGATATTAACAGTGTGGATGATTGGAGCGAAAAACTTGATAATGGTGAAATATCCAATTCACTTTTAAATGCATTTGATGAAAAAACGAACATTATATACAGCGCAAGAATGAATGGTTTAGTTACTGATCTTTTGAGCTACGGATATATTGGAAATAAGTAATCGGAAAAATACTTTACGAAATATGACATGAAATACCAAATAAATTAAATTAACCAAATGTTGATGAGATTAGCAATTTAGCGCCACATAATAGAAAATCTCCCGTTATAATAGACACTATAGTGACTTAATTTCCTTCACTCTGTAAATTGTATTAAATAAATGAAAATTCCGTGCAATGAGTATCGTTACATTTTATAATTGACCAATTATATAGATCCTTTGTGATGTTTTGGTCGCTTTTTTAAATTTCAATGCAACCTTGGAATTTGAGATCAAATTAACATTGAAACATGATTGAATTTATGAATGCGGAATTTGATAAAGCTTAGCTACTTTGAAATGTTTTACTAAATGTACATGTATCGTTCATACGTAATAACACGTTCAAGTGTAAATCAAGCGCAATATCTAACTGATTTGTGGCTCGAAGATCAAGATCAATTTTATTTTGAATTTAATATACTGCATTCATGTGGTTTGTATGCAGTATATGGGGTCGAATTTGTCACTTGAACTGAATACCATATTGAATAAGCGCGCTCATTTCAATGCCGTTCATAACATGCCTGAAATATACAGAACACTGTGAAATAGGTTTAATTGCCATATAATATAAACAATTATAAATGATATAAACATTGAAGAGTTCATAAAATGAGATTAGATGTTTATTGTGTTATTTTATTTATATTTTCACAACAATATTTTTGTTGTTAACATCAAACGATGATAATGGAAAAATCTAGATTCGCCTTGTCATATATGTATTTTATAATATATTTTATTGATAAAAGTCTAGTAAATCGAAAAATATCATAAGTGTTCCAAAAAATCATGTACAATGTTTTTCACTTTCGCATGCGATGCATCGACTACTTTATGATAGTTTTATTCATTGAATAATAAACACGATTCAGCAGTGATTTCCAGCAAATATAAATATACGATATTTGCAATATATGTCGTTGCTTGTATCGTACACAAAACACATCTCCTTCGTTTGCTGCCTCAATGTATATTGAACTGTATAAGCATATACGTTAGACACATATGCAAATGAAGGAGAAGCAAGTGACTAGACTTTCCGACTCTCTGTCTTATTAGATTAATTCCATAGGTGTTGACGAGGGTTCCTATAGGGTTCTGAACACTTCCCACCCAAAAAAAAAAATATATTTTTCGGAACCCTCGACAAAATTTTCCAGAAAGAAATGCGTATTTATTGCTTATTTATTATTATCAATTTTTGAAATGGGTGAAATTCTATCGATTTGATAGAGATTTTCGAGCTGTTTTGTAAGTAATTTTTTTTTCGAGTGGAATCAAACTCTCTTTTTGCTAGGGTTTTTGGCCGAGAAAAAAATCTTCCGATGTGCTAGTAAAATTGATTCTTGCGAAGACCCCCGTACGCATTATTTTGCCATCAACTCATTTCGCAATAGAACATCACTATTTTGAAACTATTGCTTATCTATTTTATCCGGTTGTGAAGTGAAATTCACATTACACTCATTCAACGATAAAATCATTGCACGTTATACATAACAGCAGATTAAAAGAGACTTATCATGATGATGGGTTGAAAACAGTGTCAGATTACGTTTAAATTGCGGTTAATCGTATATAGATTAACACTGTTGATCTCATATAAATACTAGTGGTATTTTTAACAATTGTTTTAATCCGAGATAGCATATACTTACGACAATATTACACACCAAAACGATAACAAATCAAGAAAAAAACAACGATGAGTTCCAAAAAGTTGCCAGATTATATTCAAGTGTTATTAGTTCGAATTATCGAAGGAAATGGTATTCGAAATTATTCATTAAAAATAAAACAAGGTTCAGAAGTTGGTGATGGATTTATGAGTGAATTATCATGTATTAAAATTATAAACAATGATGATAGTGAGAAAAACATGGAAATAGTATGTAAAATAGCGCCGATAAATCCAAATCGTCGAAAAGAATTTTTCTCAAATATTGTGTTCGAACGTGAATCATTTTTCTACAATAAATTGATGCCAGCTTTTGTCAAATTTCAAGCGGAAAAAAATGTGCCAATCAATCATCAATTTCGTGCCGTACCAAAGTGTTATGCAGCTATTGCCGACGATGATAGTGAACAATATGTGATTATGATGGAAGATTTGCGACAATTTGATTTTAAAATGTGGAATAAAGCGAAAGCAGTACCAATTGAAAATATGCGATTGGTAATGCGTGAACTTGGAAAATTTCATGGGCTATCGTTTGCAATGAAACATCAAAAACCAAATGAATTTGCCGAATTTCGAAAACTCACCGATATTTCGCACATATTTTTGCAATCGGAAAATATGCAGGGAATGTTTGATATGTCTTTTGATCGTGCCATTAAAGCGCTCAAGCGTGAAGACCATAAAAACGTGATGCGTGCATTGAAGAAAAATACTCTCGCACACTTTCAATCTTGTCTCAACGACGAAGTAACAAACCGTTTTGGCGTTGTGTCGCATGGTAAATCGGCCGGCTTTTCTTTTAAAATTTAATGAGTTTACCAATAATCATGAATATTGTTTGTTTTAGGTGATTTTTGGAACAATAATATTTTGTATCAATTCAATGAAGATGTAAGTTTAATTTGTGGATCATTGTCATCAATTAAGTATATATAAGTTAATTTGAAATAATTTGTTTTTCATGTCATCCGAAGGGTGTTGCCGAAGATGTACGATTTTTAGATTGGCAAGTTATCCGATTTACATCCCCGGCTATTGATTTACTTTACAACATATTCACATCAACATCAAAAGCACTGCGAGACAAGGAGTATGATAATTTATTGAAAATCTATCATGATTCATTGTCAAACATAGTTAAATTGCACGGTAGCAATCCAAATGAATTGTTCACATTTGATGATTTAAAAAGTGAGTTGAAAATATGTGGTGTGTACGCATTATTATTGACACCAATGCTGCTATCGGTGTCATTGGCCGATTCGAGTGAAATATCAAATCTTGATGAAATGTGTGATCAAATTGCCGAAGGCGAAAGACAAAAGGAACTCATCACCGGTTTAAGTGATCAAGAGCAAATTGAATATAACGAGAGATTGAACGACGTTGTTGAAGATCTTATTAATCTTGGCTATTACAATCCAATGAATTGAGACATATTTTTATTTTCATCCAAATATTTTTGGTTGATTTTTTTTTAAATATTTTTTTGTAAATTTCATTTTAATGTTATTTATTGATTCATTTAAAATAAAACTCGTTGACATTCAATTCAAGCAAAATGCATTCATTTATTTAACTCAAATCGCATGTGTAAAGAACGGGCGTTTTGCTCAATTTTCTTTGAATTTTCTGATTAATTGAAGAGTATGTAATATTGTACTTTACTTGTTACCAAAAGTCAAAACATAATTGAAGCGTTATTAATTAAATTGATCTCGTCGTATTCGTCAATCCGTTGTGAATGAATGAAGTGAATACGTGTGCTAACGTCACCGTATGCACAGTTCTTTTGTCGATTAAATTGTGTGTTTTGTTTTGGCTCAGTGAACAATTACAATGTATGTATATATGCTTATGTAAAGGGGCGTACAAGTAATACGCGAAACGTGCATGCATATATGTGAGCCATGTCTACGTTATCCGGTTCCCTTTTAATGATATCTAAATTATATTAGAACCACAATAATGCCGTTTAACACATGCGCGCCCAACAACACCCATTCAATTTCGAATTTGTACAATACACCGTAATAGATTCTTACTACTCTTGTCGATCTTTTTTCTTCATTAAATACGATGTAATGTGGGAAAATACTGGCGTACGCATAACATTTATTCAGGGAAAATGATTTTTATACTCTTGTCTTTTTTTTTGCATCATTGTTTAACTTTTCTGTGACAATGCATTTGATCATTCGTACGAATCGTGTTTGCTCTCTTCCAAATCGATTTTATTCTGATATTGTTCGGGTGCATTCTCTTGATCTAATTATTGAAGTGTATGCGTTGCATAAAAAGGCCTTTATTCGCATGATAAACATAACTATAGACCATTTTGCTGCTGATTTTCAGTTTTCTATTGAGATAGGCCACCTTTTTTGACTGCCACAATGGCATTCGAGCGCGTGAGAAAGTATTTATTATGTCGTAAAGTTCCAGTTACACTTACACTTCAAGTTTTAATTCACATCACTTGATGCATAATGCACGTGCTTTCATTGACAAAAAATCATGTGAATTTTTCGGATTTCAATTTGAAATAGAATTTAACGGTACACTAATCTTCTTTTTGTTGTTCTTTGGAATTGGATGTTTTGATTGAATTCGTTTACAAAAAAAATAATAATAAATGGAGGTCAAGAAATCAACAATGGCTATTGGGTGTGTGTTACGATGACAATCAGACCCATTTTCATTTGGTGAATTGTGCGCACAACAGACAAACGGCACATATCGCACATCATCGATGAAACGGTATTGAACGAAATCAAAAATGAAAAACAAAAACATATTGTTTTTCATTGTAAAGTTGCAAAGGCCGCATTGTATATTAAAATTAAGTATTGGGAATCGAAGCCGGTTTTAGAATCAAACTCGTGTTGCGCGAACGAGATAAACGATGTGTTGGAATCGTTTTGTTTACGCAATGAAAAATATATTCATTTGCACTTCTTTGAAAATAGTTGTGTCGCGCTCCAGCTTAACACGCAATAACAATGTCAGAAAGAGAGAGAGAGACAGAGGAACGAAGAAATGACAGGTGAATATGTGTATGATAAATCTTCGGTCTATGCATAGAAACTGCTTTTTTTCGATCACCGTCAACAAGTATTCAATAATAAAATAAACTGCCAATGTACTTGGAAGTAATGCTTGATGTTTCGATGTATAAACAAGTTGAATTTGAAAAGTATGTCTAACTCCCAGGGGTCCGCAGACAAACTTTTGATCAAAACCGTATGATTTGAACTCGAGCCATATCGACTTTCGTCTAGAAATTCGGTACTTTGCTCTACTAGAGCTACTCTTGGTAGGCAATATTTACCGGGTATTCTGGTTATGATTTTTTCGGGTATTCTGGTTATGATTTTTTCAAAGAACATATCAATAATTGTCTGATAATGAGTGACTTTAACCAAAATTTTAAAACTTGAACTCGAGTTACAACGTTCCAAAAAGTAAAATGTATTATCTGGGAATTCGGCTGAGGAATCCGAACAAATAGGTTTCAAGCTGATGCCTTATTTTAGTTATGCGCAATGCAAACAAACCGAAAACGATTTTAAAGCTTGATGATACATCAAGGAATATGCACAGCAGAAAATGATCTGAATACGCTGGTGGAGTCGATTGATATTAACATGGAAAGTATCGCCCATAAAATACGATGGATGGACTCTCATCAATTTTGATAAATACATGCACCAACAAACACACATACATGAGATGAAGGAAAAATGGTACATAGCTGACGAATAATAAAAATGAGTAATAGTAAGAGTCCGAAAAATTTAGAAGGAAAAAAGACGAAGAATACGGATTGCAAGATAGATATGAGTCCATGGGTGAGTAAATATCGAATGTTGCGCGCGCCAAATGAAATAAATGATGTCAGTGAACGAGGAAAAATGGTCAAACATAACAACTGAAAAATTGTGTTAATGTTTTGTTGCTTTGTGAGGTCTTTCACTCATTCGGGCAACATAATGTTAACTGTGTGTGTGTGTGTGTCGATATGGGTTTGAATGTGACTTACATGGTTAGTACATATAATCGATTTGAAAAGACAATTTTGATTTATTGATGGTAAATATTTTACGTTGATATTTTTATAGTAGACATTCCACAACGAACTCTTTTCAATTCATTTGTATTGCACGTTTCTCTATATGCACCGACTTTTTTTTCGTCTTTTGATCAAATTGGCTTAACGCACTCGCTCATATTGATCGTTTTTTTTTATTCGTGAATAAATATGTTTCAATTCATTTTAACAGACATATTTTTTCATCTTCATATTATGAAAGTAAATGAAAGGAACATTATCAGTTTCAGTTTTTGATGAAAAGATTGGCTCATAATAAAAACTCGCGCGATCATCAAATGAAATGGAATTATAATGAAACCCATATACTTTCGTCCTTAAAGTGAATAAACACTAAACAAATGTTTGCATGATTCATCGCTTTTTTGTCTTATTGTCTCCGGTTCGTTCTGTGTGTCACTCTCTTCGGTCTTTTTACGTATAAACGCGCAAGCACGCACATACATACGGTACAGCATGTGCTCTCTTCGTTGAATTAGCTGTGATTTTGTGTTTCGGTCTTGTGTTAGATGTTAAAATATATTAAATTTACTGAATGGCAATAATAGCTAATAAACCATTATTAGCCATAATTATTGTAACTTAACGATGAATTGCTACATTCAAGTTGAATGAATACTCCATATGTTATCGATACGATTCGTTTTCATTACAATTAAAGTGGCTTTGTTTTCGTTCTGATTGTGTGTTGTTTTTATTATTATTATTATTATTTGTTCGTCACTTCGATGTGGTTTTTCCCGCTTTCGCCGATTATATGTTCTGATGACACCATATATTCATCGCATCAAGTGTTTTACGAAATACAAAACAACTTTTTTTGTCGAATTTAAAATGTGGTTTAAAAATTGCATAAATTAAAACCCAAAATTGTTAAATTCTGATATCATTTCTATCGAGATAAATAAAAACACCAAACCAGTAATAATGCACTTATACTGAGATGAAATGAGTCAGAAGAAAGAGAGAGTAAGCGATCCCATCAAAAAACCATGTACTAGCAAAATCGATTAAGTAACTCTTCCAACAGATTATACGATTAACATGGAAACTCTTTCTTAATCTCTCTCTCTTTCTCTCTCTATCTCTCTCTATCTCTCTCTCTCTCTCTCTCTCTCTCTCTCTCTCTCTCTCTCTATCGAACGACAAATTTACCGACAACACCAAGATAAATGACAACAGATCGAAACGCAACGATCACACGGTCTTATGAATAAATTAATTAATATTCTGAAGATTTTTGTATCAATTCTTTTGTCACTGTGGTGCCGAATATGTCTTTCTCTATTATGAAAACTTCGCTCTCTTCTAGCGATTGAATCGATACCGCGGTGTTACATCAAACAGCATCATCCACTTTTTTCGAAAAAAAAAAATTGTGAACGCGCCAAAGCCCGTTTTTTCTATATCAAAAACAAATCGTCTGTAAAATAAATCGATTGGAACTATCGAAAAGCGAGGGAGAGTCGAAAAAAATTATTAGCTGAAAGAATTTTTCTGTATCAGTAAGCAAACACGTTTAAATAGATGCACACGCACACACATCGTTCGAATAAAGCGCGATCGAAAATATCTTTCAACTTTTCTTCATCATCTTCTTTATCTTTGTTGTTTTTATTTTATCGTTACTTTTTCATTCAATTCGATTTGTAGATGCTTAAATGGTATGTCACTGCTCTTTTTTTCGTTTACTTTTTCTTCTCAATATTAAATGATTATTTCTTTTCGATTTTAAGCGTATACACAAAAAAATAACGAACGAGAACGTAAAAGGGAGAAAGAGAGAGAAAGGATGACGAAAAAAAACAAGAACACTTGAATGTCTCATAAATTTTACACAAAATCATAAAGCTTAAAAATGTGATTCTATTTTCGGTAAAATGTGAGGCGGTTTGTCTATGCATTTTTATTGTTTCCGATTTGAATAAGGTGTCTACATGGATATTCTTTTATATTGTTACTATCATTTTTCTTTCGATCTATATCCAAAACTTCGATCCCATTCATTATCTTACACACGCTCACTTGTATCTGTTGTGCAGTGAAAATGTTGAATAAGAAAGTGTTTTACGGCAGCCGTCACGTCGACGACCTATGGTGACAATCGATATGCATTCATGTGATACGCTCAACATTGTTATTAGTTGATAACAAATGAAATGGATGCTCTTGAGAATTAAAAATGATTTTTATGTTCACAGATGCTTCTCGATTATCATTTCATTTCACATTTTACGAGTGGCCGGTATATTCCGATGATCGTTGGCCAATAAGAGGAAATATATGACTCTTGTATTGTTAAGAAACGGTATTTAATTGATGTCATGTGAATGTAGCCAACCAACCTT